CTTAGATACATTTATAACCCAAATAAATGAATTGTTTTTAATTCATCATGCAGCGCTTACAACCGCAGATATTACTTTCACAAAAGCCTTTCCAACCTTTTATCAGATGGTGATAGAAAAAAAAATATTTGTTAGATTTTTATCATGAAGATGTTAAAGTATCTTATGATGCCTCATTAGCTGAATAACTATGATTAAAAGATTAACTATGGTTGATACAGTCCCAAGAATGCTATGGATGCTTTGCATTATTTCAAACACATTTTAGATTATATTCCCAATGTATTAAAATGGTTATATATATTACCAACTCTTCCCATTAGTAAACTTTTTAAGAAGAATAACAGAGCCCTGCACAGAATTACCATTTGCAAGGCACGGCCCGGATTCTTTTTAAAAAAATTTCGGCCCGTGTTAAAAAGATTTTCAGGCCCGGCTCGAATTTTTTTAAATTAAATTATATTTATTTTTGATTTTAATATCTAATAATGGCGATTTCAAATATTTAGTTTTAAAATATACAGCTCGGCCCGGATATTTTTTTAAAAAATTTTTATTACCCCCCCCCCCCCCCCAGGCCAAATTCCTGCGTACGCGCCTGAATAAAAATAATATTTTTGTGCATAAATTTTTTTTAAAAAATAGAGTTAACAAGCCCCAATAGTGAGTATTTTCAAATAAACAAAATATATAAAAATATCTAATATTTTCAAATAAACAAATAATTAATTAGATCGAATAGTTTATTATATGATTTAAATATATGTGCTATTAGTATTAGTGATCTGCATCGGGCCTAATTTTTCAAGCCCGGCCCGGCCTGAAATTTTTTTAAAAAGTTTTGCCGGCCTGGCCCGAATTTATTTAAATATAGAAATTAATCTTTATAATTACTTAAAATAAAAGACATATGTTATATAGCGTTTAGTTTCAATAAATTAAATCAAAAATTTTTATTTTACATAAAAAATTCAATATAAAATTGATAAATTTAGATATATTTAATAAAATTTTCAAGGTCCGACCCGACCCGGCCCGAATTTTTTTTAAAAATATTAGACCCAGCCTGGCCCGAACCCGATTATTTTAAATAAAATTAGGCCCGAGCCTAACTTTGCAGACCTCTAATTAGTATTTAATGTGAATCGATGATTATTTAATCATACAACGATAATTCATCTTAAGTCTAATTCTCATAGATTATGAATTACATAATTTGAATTTTATTTATTGAAAATCATCATAAAATAAATTATAATATTTATAAAAATTATACTAAATTTAAAATATTTTATTTTTTTACGTTAATTATAAAGTTATGTTAGCCAATACAAATATTAAGTGATATGATGATAAGTAACAACTAAACTAAATGTTGGCTCAATAAAATTTTATTCATTTGGTATTGTAGTAACAATTATCATTATATTAAGGATTTTTAGAATTAAAAATTGTAATTAATGAAAAATGTTATAAAAATATATATTCAATAGAAATATATAATTTGGTAGAATTAGAATATTTAAACATAAGAAAGGTATGTAATTCAATTTGATAAGATTATACTTAAATAACCATCTTTTCTATTTAATTTGTTAGTTTTTGCGATTTTGAAACTTTTTCTAATTAGTCTTCCGAAGAAAATAATTCACTATCAAGGAAAAGGCTATTGTGAAATGGTTCTCCAGATCATAATATGATAGATTTTATTTACAACCCCACTCCATATCACTTTAATTTACTATTCATAAATACTTGAATAATTAGTTTTTAAATTTTTTAAAACAATTTATATGCAAATATCAAAAAAATAAGAGGCTGTTAGCCTTAAATAACCTTATTTAAACTAGTTCAGATATCTGTTGAAAATTTATCCGATTACTCTTTTTGGATATTATTTTTTTTACCAAGTTTTTCTTCTACAAATTGTATTTTTCATACTTCAGAGTGTTGAAATATATTGATTTTACTGATGAATCAAGATCATCTGGAATAGATTTGTAATTTTTAATTGAAAGACTATAATAATTTTTCTAGCTTGGATTAGATAATTTCCTATAGTTCCTTTACATCTGTGAATACACTCTTTTCATTATTTTGTCCTATTGATATCTCTTATAATACTTCACAAAATTTGATCTTGGATTACCTAAAATAATAATGCCATATAAATTATTAGATTATATTAATTATAACTTTAATTATAAAAAAATATTATTTTAATTTCTTTACCATATAGATTTTTAATTACATAATCTATATTATTTAATATTGCTAAAATTTATGTTGTTTAAAAACTACATAAAATTCAAATGATCCCATCTTAAAAATAAGAAAGATAATGTATAGAAATTTACCTATTAGTTGGCTAGTGGTCCTTGTTGATTTACAATCTTTATATATCTATTATAATATAAATTTATCAAATTTAGTATACTTATATATAAACATTAATATAAAATGTAGGGTCATTTATAATTTTGTTGGGTTTGTATTTTCGCACCATATCGAATAATATATAATTACAATTATTTGGTTCAAGTCCCAATAGCTCTAAATTAACTAAATAATATATCTAGACAAAATAAATACTCATAAAATTTTCTCAAATTATAAATGAGATTGGGATAAAATTTAAACCTTCTAGTCTATTTAATTCTAAAATGAGATTAAGTGATTTACCAAGTCCGGGGTTTACCTAACCCCAGTCTCCCGATTATTTATAAAAAGTTTTTAACAGATATCTTTAAAATGTTTACCAATAAAAAAAATTGATAATTTAGGTTTTGAAATACTCAACTTTACTGAAGCTCTTTTTATTCAAGTATGATCGTTCCTTATAATCATGGCTACGGAACTTTTTGCTTCAAATTTTACTGAGCCCAGCCATTTTTAAAATTTAAGGCTCAAGAATTTTATTTATTCTTATTTTCAATATTTAAAATATTTCGCGTAAAAAATTGTTTTTTGTGGTCATTTTTATTACATTTTATGTTAAGATTTTGAAATTATACCGTCATTTTTTTAACAGATAATATATATTTTAGGAATATCAAATGATGGATTAATTAAATGAAAGCTTAATTATATATTAGGATAATCTAAAAAATAAAAAAAATATATAGCATAAAACGGAGAAGAAAATAAGGAAGAAATAGCAAGCCTAGGAAAGATTTTTGGAAAGAAAACTTCTGTTGAAACATATATAGTTGGCTTTAAAACAGCAATTTTTAAAAACAAGTATAACATTATTTTTTAAATTATATTGGATTATTATAATTATGATACAAATTATTTTTATGGTGAATAACTTAAAAAAACTGATGTTTCAGTTATATTTACCTAATTTTACTAGTCCTTATGTTTCTGATCAAACATATAGTTCAAGGAGTTTTCACTGATCACAATCCTTTATTTTAGAATGAAGTTCCACAGCTCTGCTTATTAAAATGAATAAAAATATTTTCTTCCCTTCCTGTACATTTTATAATTAACTATTTGTACTTGATCATATTGTTCTCAAACTGGTCCTCTTGGAAGAATTTTTATCAACTTGATTATCAAGGTCAATTAATTTAGGAAATAATTTATTACAAAATACATATATTTGAATAAATGAATTATATTTGATTTATTAATTTATTAGGAATTGAAATATTAATTTAATCATAAAATTAAAAATTATGTAAGCAGTGTTGTCTCTACGGCTTAACTCAAACGCGAATTCGCGCAAACTGTGAATGCAAAATAGACTTTGCCTAGCGTCACAAAAATTGAAGCGGAACAACTTAAAGAGATATTTAAGGCAAACCATGACAAGTAAAAAATTTAACTGGATTTTCGATGTTAACTATTGATTCCGAAGTGACGTATGCATTAAATATAGTCAATTATCCAAAATTTTGCAACAAATAAATCTGGAAAATATAGAAAATCTATGTCTTCTTAACAATCACAGATAATATAGCAAAATATCTAGTATTATAACTTTATATTTGAATTTTGAATAGAAAAATGCATATTTTTATTTAGTTTGTAAGAAATGGTAAAAATTTTTATCTAAGAAGGGAGGGGGAGAGGTCAGAGAGGATATAGACGACACTGGGTGTAAGAAAATTTAAAATATATTCCACGATAAAAATTAAAAATATAATTTAAAATAATTATTTGAATTTATAGATATTCAATTAGGTTTGTTGAATTGCCTTACTATTGAATGTCAAAAAAAATACTTACTGAGAGGAGATATCTAATTAAAAGACACTAAAATGTATTATTGTTAAATTCTAATAAAAAATAGTTAGTATTACTGTTAGGAATTCTATAAAATTCGTAGTTTAATTCTGGCTAAAAAAATTTAAATTTATAAAGCATATTATCATTTTTGTGTATAGTTAAAATTGAAAGTATCGGCGGTATGTATCAGTGACATCTTTATCTCCAATCAAAATTGATTATATTCGCTTTATTTTTCTCTTAGAAGAAAAATATGATAATACATCGATATCTAAAGATAAAATATAAAAGAATTTAAATAAAAATTGTATCCTTGTATTAATTTCAGTATTAGTATTTGCAATATATATAATATTTCCTCAATTTTAACGAAATGTTTGGTTTTATACTACTGTATTTTTTGTATTATATTATATATCATTAAACGAACTCTAAAAAAATTATATATTGAAGAAAGGCTTTATTTTTATAGAGTAACAAAATTTTTATCTTCTTGAGCATAGCTAATAATATAATATTATACACTTTTAATAAATTTTCAATATTAATAATTTATAAATGTGGTTTCCGAATAAAGTGTGATATAAAAACGATTTAAAAACAAAAAACGATTTTTAAAATCTATAATAAAATGATTGAATATAATATATACATTATTAGAGGTTTGCTTATTGTATAATATGTAAAACGAGTATTTAACTATATACAATTTTACTTATTTTAAAAAACCTATAAAAATAATAAAATTTTATTTGAGCCATAAATCAATTCGTTTTTTTGCGATGTTCTGAAAAATAACAACTTTCAATAAATCGAACTAATTTTTTATCGCTTGCATAAATGAGAAATAAGGCGGATAGACTCATAATGGCGCCTATCGATATGTGCGAGACGTAATTAAGCAAAGTTGGACTATAATTACTGTTTAAGCTGGCATTTTTAAATAGAAAATAGTTTGAAAGATTACAAACGATAGTGCATATCGCTAAATATGATAACGTGTACGTCGATGGAAAAAATGAGCGATAAAAAGAGCCCATATTTACCCCCTTCTTGCGGGTTATGCTACAAGAAGCATAGACGATTCGAATACTTATATTGAGACAATTCGCGATCACTAATCCAGGAGGCCCTAATAACCTTCCCAACGGAGTTGCGACCATCAAAAATATTAAAGATAATACGATCAATATTTTATTAAAATTGTCAATGTTTGCTTTGGTATAAATTGCGAAGGTATAACACTCAGTTATTCCATTGATACCTAAAATAAATAAGTAAAGGCAAAAAAGTTGAAGCAAGCTGGTGGCACGATTTATTGTGTCATATTGATTACTATGCGGTGAGCTGCTACCCATGTATAAGCGAAGAGCTAGCTCCGAATAGGCAAGGCCAAAGGTTATAACCAATAGGCCTATTGTGGTCATTAGAGAGAGTAAATCAATCAATTTTTCGTAACTGTCATCGCGTTCTATTTCTTGGGGTAGAGGCTTTGAGCTATTTATAGTTTTCGAGTTCTGACTATATTCAATCGGATGCGGGGATAGGGGTTCCCTTGTCGATGTCTGAGTAAAATATAGATAGGCGCTATCTTCAATGGGTAGATAAACCATTCGAGCTACGAGTGATGCTAGACCATTAACCAAGTCATAAATTCCCTGTTGCGCGAAAGTCATTATATCAAAAAAAGTCATGACAAATCTTTCACCTTCAGTGAGAAATTGTTTCATAAGGGATTGATAGCTAAAACTCCAAGTTAGCTCTAAAAGTCGCTAGATTAAAATATCGATATTTTAATTAAACAAAATAAATATAATTATTACTTTTTCTTCTTGGTCTAGTTTAAATTTAAAACTGGGGAGTAATTCTTTGTATTCGTGAAAAAATTCGATCTCTTGATTACCATGCGAGTATATTCTCCATATAAAATATATCACATATGAAAAGGTCAAGCAACTTGAATATATAATCTGGATATTATAAAATTACAAATCGTTTAAAAATGTACGATGATGTAAATGATAGGACTGCTATTTAGGATCTGAATCGGGTACACCCGATATTATTTAAAAAGCGATCCGATTTTTTTAACTTAATAAAATAATAGAATAATAAATTATATTTTATTTATGGTACACCTATTTTTATAAAGATTTTGTTTATTTTATTATATCTTTATCATGGGTGCCCGCCGCAGATTGCAGATCAGGTACTTGCACCCCCTGGAAAAAATTAAAAATAAAATTCTTATATCAAGACATGTTAAAATGAATTGAGATATTTAAAAATTTATAAGCTTCTCAGGTTATAATTAATTAAATTGATTTCATCTTTTTTTAACCAAATTAAAAAAATAATCATGAACACTCAATTTTTATCAAAACCTTTAATATAAAATAAAACTATCGTCCTACTATGCAAAAAATATCACTCTTTTGCCCAGCTGTGTTCTATCTACCTTTGCCTGGACTATTCGTTGGGGCAATGAATTAAAAAAATTCTGGGATATCGATTTCCATATAAACTCTAATTTTTTTTCCCAAATAATCTTTTGTTTTAAATCGCTACTTTCTAAGCTCTTATTTGAGTAAACCACATGTTTTAAATAGGATTGAGATCTATAGAATGGCAACACATTGATATTATGATCCTAGCAAGGTTAATAGAATTAGCGGTATAACAAAGACCTCTATCTACCCCTTACAATTTTATTCAAATAACGATACCATCTTCATATCCACCTACTAGAGCTCATAGATTGAAGAAAGATTTCTACAATCTATTTGCTAAATCTTAAGGCTTACATAATTTTATTTTGGCGAAAATCTTAATCGGGCCGTTTTAAAAAATCAACCCAAATTGGGCTGTATGACTACCTACCCCCCCCCCCCACTATCCCAGACTAAAAACGCGTATATGGTCAATACCCCTAAGCTTTTTTGGAGAAATATATTATCGCGAATGTTGATTACCGTAAGGTATTTTAGCGAATGCATTACCACGAAAATAATATCGCGAATCCATTACCGCAGATGCATTTAAGAAAATATATTAAAGCGAAAACATTACAGCGTATGGATTATAGCGGACGTATTACCGCGAAAATTATATATTATAACGAATTTATTACCGCGAATGCATAGTAAATATATTATCGCAAATAAAATAGTGATTGATTTATAAAATCTAATATATATAATCGCCGTAATCAAGAAATTAATGATTTCGTATAACCTTAATGTTAATTTTTATTTTTTCTAGCAACTTTCCTATCATCTTAATGTTAAATAAATCGAAAAAGATTATATACCTCTAATGTCAAATTTTTTTTTTTTAAATTTTTTATAACGAGATTCGAACCATTGACTTTCGATAGAAAAACGTTCTTTCCTTATGCTTAGCCTAAACATCGGCTAAAACTAAATTAGTCAAAATTCTGCATCGGCTTCGTCCGTCATCATTTCGTAAGATATGCCTAGCATTAATTATTATTTATTCATTTTTAGTAAAATAATATATTTTATGATTTAATATTTTTTATTTATATTATTATATTATGAAATGAACTGAAATATGATTATATTATTAAAATGGATATATATATTTGATGTTTTTTAATTAAAAAAAATGATATGCTCCTATTGTAATATTAGTTTTTTTACAATTTATTAGTGATTTTCATGCCCAAAATTTTAAGCAAAAAATATTATTTAAAGTTCAAAAAGATTTTTGAACATATTTTGATTTGATAAGAATTTTAAATCTTTTGTAAATAAAACTTTTTTGAGGAATTCTTTTGTGAATTTTATTAAATATAAACAATTTATTAGGTGAACGTGAAATCTTTAATAATTTTTGTAAAATTATCTATTTTTTTAAATATATTAAAAGAGGTGATTTTTTTTAAAAAAATTTTTAAAATATTTATATTAAACTTTTTTAATTCTATATGATCTTTTTAAGGATAATATTTTAATATGACAATTGTCATGTTCGTTATTTTTTATGATTTTTTGACACAAAAGGGTAAAAATATAATTTATATTGTAAAGATGCTAAATTATAAATTAAATGAAAATGTTCCTTGGATAAAGTGACAATTATCATAATCGCTATTTTTAAACATATTAGATTTTTTTGAGTGGGCAAAAATATGTATTTTTAACATCTTAAATTAAAATTTCAATTAAGATGTACCATATAAAAGTGACAATTATCATAATAGCTATTTTTAAAGTTTTTTGAATATTTTTGACGCAAATGAGTAAAAATATAGATTGCAAACATGTTAAATTAAAATTTCATGAAGATATACCATAGAAAAGTGACAATTGTCATAATCGTTATTTTTATGCAAATGGGCAAAAATATAAATTGCTAACATGTTAAAATAAAATCAGTGAAGATGTACGATAGATAAATAACAATTGTCATAATCGTTATTTTTAGAGTTTTTTGAATTTTTTTAACGCAAATGGGTGAAAATATAGATTGTAAACAAGTTAAATGAAAATTTCATAAAGTTGAATCGTTATTTTTAAGTTTTTTGATGTAAATGGGCTAAAATAAATATTGCTAACAGTTAAAATAAAACTTCAGTGAAGATGTACCCTAGATAAGTATCAATTGTCATAATCGCTATTTTTAAAGATTTTTGACCCAAATGAGTTAAAATAGATTGTAAAATGTTAAATAATTTAATGAAGATGTACCACAGGAAAGTGATAATTGTCATAATCGTTATTTTTAGGTTTTCCAATATTTTTTTGAGAAATCATTCAAAAAAAGATATTTTGTTTAAATTTTATTGAAATAATTTAAAAAAGTGCCAATTATCACAATCTTTGTTCTTTAACTTTCTTATTTTTTAAAAAAAATGAGTTGGTAACATTTGGCGAAACAAAAAACAAATGGTAATTTTCATGTTCATAATGGTTGTTCCTTTTATTCTGCTCAAAATTTCATAAAAATATGCAAAGTGATTACTAAAGAGGGTTGTAACTCATGTTAAATTCTATGCTTTTAAGATATCGATTCACAATCTTATTCCTATAATTAATAAATTTTAATAACCCTGCATTCGCAGTTAGCATAAATCTTTAATACTCACGGCGAAATCGTGCTGAATCTGAATTCAGGATAAGATTTTTATGAAAAGAACTTAAAAGCCATATGAATATAATTTATCAATATAATATAATCAGCATTCTATAAATTTAATATTAAAATTTTGAATTTTATATACATATGGTAAAAATAGATTACAATCTATATTTTAAGCTATTTGCGTCAAAAAACTTAAAAATAACGATTATGATAAGTCACTGATCTATGGTACATCTTCACCAAATTTTTAACTTAACATGTTAATCTATATTTATTCCTATTTGAGTCAAAAAAATTCAAAAAACTTTAAAAATAACGTTTATGACAATTGTCACTTCTATATGGTACATCTAAATGAAATTTTAATTTAACACGTTACTATATATATTTTTACCATTTACTTCAAAAATATCAAATAACTTTATAAATAGCGATTATGACAATTGCAACTTATCTAGGAGGGTACATCTTCACTGAAGTTTTATTTAAACATTTAGTAATACGTATTTTAGCCCATTTACGTGAAAAAAATTTAAAAAACTTTAAAAATAACGATTATGACAATTGTCATTTTTATATAGTGCATCTTAATTGAAATCTTAATTTAAATGTTAAAAATACATATTTTGCCCATTAGCGTCAAAAAAAATTTAATATGTTTAAAAATATCATATGATAATTGTCATTTTACCAAGGAAAATCTTCATTGAATTTATAATTTAACATCTTTACAATATAAATTATATTTTTACCCTTTTGTGTCAAAAAATTTCAAAAATGTTAAAAAAATAACGAATATGACAATTGTCACATTAAAATATTATCCTTAAAAAGATCATATAAAATAAAATAAAGTTTAATAAATAATCACCTTTTAATATAGTTAAAAAAATAGATAATTTTTCAAAAATAAAACAAAACTATAAAAGATTTCACCTAAAAGAGTTTATTTTTAATAAAGTTCACAAAAGAATATCAAAATAGATTTATTTACAAAGAAGATTGAAAATTCTAATCAAATCAAAATATTTTCAAAAAATTTTAGAACTTCAAAACATATTTTTTGCTTAAAATTTTGGGCATGCAAATCACTAATAAATTGTAACAAAATTAATATTGCAATAGAAGCATATCGTTTTTTTATTAAAAAACATCAAATAAATAAATTCATTTTCATAATATAATCATATTTGATTTGATTTTAAGCAGTTTCTTTATTGATCTCTTATTCTTATTTAGCCTTAGAAACTTTTTAGTGTTTAAGTTCATAACCATGATGTCTTTCATTGCCCTATAGTACCATAATCTTTTAAACTTTCCATAGGATTTTTTAGTGTTTAAATTCATATCCATGATGTCTTTCATTGGCCTATAGTACCATAATCTTTTAAACTTTCCATAGGTTTTGCCGTTGAAGTATAGCCAATTTATGGCATCAAGGACTAGGATGTTATTGGTATGATTTCTCAGAATATGTACGAAGAAGGTTATACGCTTTTTCTTTAGTTATATGTACCGGAGTATGTTTAGACCTTCTCCAAAGGTTGTCGTTCGAAATGATGTTGGGGTAAAAGACGCCATTGATTATTCTTAAGCATTTATTAACAAACGTTTGCAATCTCTTTGTCTCTGTCTTAGTTATCTCCCATGTATCACCCCCGTAAAGGAGGATTGGAATGATAGAAGAGTTGAAAATTCTTAGCCTAGTGAACACCGATATCTCCCTAGTTCTCCATAGCTTAAAATATTTGTAGAAAGCAGCTCTATTCTGAATTCGGAATCTCAGTTCATCTTTACAACTGCCTTTATTGTCGATGTTCACTCCAAGATATTTAAGAAGACACTATTTTGACAACTTTTCCTCCAACCAACCAATCACCCAGAGGGGGAGCATGAGACGATGGCATGATTACAGTCTTATAGAAGTTAATATCTAATCCAACCTTAAGACTAAAAGTGTTTAGTATCAAGACCAAATTGTTAGCCTCCTCCAAGTTTTTTGCAATCAAGACTAAGTCATCAGCATAACTAATCACCCTGTTTTTCAAAAACCACGGCTGATTGGATCCAAGTTCAAGAAAATTGGCTGCCCCTAATGTATCAGTAATTACTCTATTCATTATTATATTAAACAGTAGTGGAGAGGCGACACAGCCTTGCTTAACTCCTTTTTTTGTCCTGAAAGGAGGTGAAACTTTATTTAAGATTTTAAATGAAGCCATGAGATTACTATAATGCAGCCCTAAAATCTTGATAATATTGGCTTCTATACCGCATCTCGCTAGGATAGCCCACAAGGTGAGTGATGCTGTCGAAAGCGGGTTTGAAATCAATGAATATAAAATAAAAAGGTAATTTATATTTTTCACACTTTTGTACAATTATCTTCAGAGCCAAGATTGGTTCGTTTATATTTCTGTTTGGGCGATATGCACAAATGTATTTGGATAATAGGTTAGGGGAGGATGCTAGGATTCGGTTTTTTAAAAGAATCATAAAGACTTTTGATACTATGGAGGTAAGGGCAATCGCTCTATAATCTTTGAATTTAGTAGGGTTAGGAATTTTAGGAAAAGATAGTTAAGTTCCAATCTCCAGGCATTTAACGATTCTTCTTAGACTGATGGCGGAAGAGAAAATGGATATAATTGTGATATAAGAAACCCACTCTAAGGATAATAATATGGCCAATTTTAGTAATTTCATATTATACAGTTCGGGCACTACTTTAAATAGCTGGTCAGGGATCGCCTTTTTGATTAGTAAGAGAGTACACAAATTTGTAGATAAATTTGTACCCATTTCCGAAAGATGTGGTTTGCTATATCGGTTTAAACGAACGATGCTAATCAATGTCTAGGCCCCTCCTCGCAGAAGTGATAGGCTCACCTTTCTAGACGATCTTAAACATTGTATGCTCACTCCCTAGGAGCCGCAATCTGATAATCTTGGGCGATTTAAATATCAAAATTGGGAAGAAGCAGTCCTATATAACTGATGGAGTAATTGGAAATGCGGCGATCCCACAGCCAAAAGGTGAGGATAGCAGGAAGCTTTTGGATCTGTGTAAGAGCCTAAACCTTAAAATTGAAAACACCTTTTTCCTCCATAATGAAAGAAACACATTAACCTATAGGAGAAATAATATCACCTTTCAAATCGATTTCTTTATTTCCAACATTCATGGCTGGTTTACCGATGTTAGGGCCTTGCTAAACATTAATATTTCTGATCATAAGCTAGTCAGAGAACGTATCACCATAAGAAATTTATGGGGCAACTCTAGACGACTAGCCATCTCAAATCAACCTAGTCTTCCCCCCTAGATAATAAAAGCAAGGAATCTACAGTGTTCAGAAGTTAAGCTCCTTTTAGTCCAAAACTTAAGAGCTAGGATGACGTTAAATCATGGTTCATCGGAATCAGAATCCAAAGAATGTTGGTTGTCCTTTAAAAATATTTTATTTGGAGCTTGCAACGATCTCCTAAGCATTAACAGGCCCTTCCAGAGACATGAGTGGCTATCCGAAGACACCATTCTGATGATAGGGGAACTAAAGTCAAGTGAAAGACGGGATGGTAACCTTTGGACTACGATTCATAGGCTTATTAGGAAAGATAGAAGGATCTACATTGCAAAAAAAGCATTTGAGATCGATAGAGACATGAAGGACAACAGGACCTTTGATGTTTATAAAAAGCTTAAACACTTCTGTAGCGCTAAAGTGTTTAAACCTCATCAGATTGCGGCTCCTAGGGAGTGAGCATACAATGTTTTCAAGATCGTCTAGAAAGTTGAGCCTATCACTTCTGCGAGGAGGGGCCTAGACATTGATTAGCATCGTTCGTTTAAACCAGGTGTTTAGATATAGCAAACCACATCTTTCGGAAATGGGTACAAATTTATCTACAAATTTGTGTACTGTCTTACTAATCAAAAAGGCGATCCCTGACCAGCTATTTAAAGTAGTGCCCGAACTGTATAATATGAAATTACTAAAATTTGCCATATTATTATCCTTAGAGTGGGTTTCTTATATCGCAATTATATCCATTTTCTCTTCCGCCATCAGTCTAAGAAGAATCGTTAAATGCCTGGAGATTGGAACTTAACTATCTTTTACAATTTCCCTAAAATTCCTAACCCTACTAAATTCAAAGATTATAGAGCGATTGCCCTTACCTCCATAGTATCAAGAGTCTTTATGATCCTTTTAAAAAACCGAATCCTAGCATTCTCCCCTAATATTATCCAAATACATTTGGGCATATCGCCCAAACAGAAATATAAACCCAATCTTGGCGCTGAAGATAATTGTACAAAAGTGTGAAAAATATAAATTACCTTTTTATTTTATATTCATTGATTTCAAACGCGCTTTCGACAGCATCACTCACCTTGTGGGCTATCCTAGCGAGATGCGGTATAGAAGCCAATATTATCAAGATTTTAGGGCTGCATTATAGTAATCTCATGGCTTCATTTAAAATCTTAAATAAAGTTTCACCTCCTTTCAGGACAAAAAAAGGAGTTAAGCAAGGCTGTGTCGCCTCTCCACTACTGTTTAATATAATAATGAATAGAGTAATTACTGATACATTAGGGGCAGCCAATTTTCTTGAACTTGGATCCAATCAGCCGTGGTTTTTGAAAAACAGGGTGATTAGTTATGCTGATGACTTAGTCTTGATTGCAAAAAACTTGGAGGAGGCTAACAATTTGGTCTTGATACTAAACACTTTTAGTCTTAAGGTTGGATTAGATATTAACTTCTATAAGACTGTAATCATGCCATCGTCTCATGCTCCCCCTCTGGGTGATTGGTTGGTTGGAGGAAAAGTTGTCAAAATAGTGTCTTCTTAAATATCTTGGAGTGAACATCGACAATAAAGGCAGTTGTAAAGATGAACTGAGATTCCGAATTCAGAATAGAGCTGCTTTCTACAAATATTTTAAGCTATGGAGAACTAGGGAGATATCGGTGTTCACTAGGCTAAGAATTTTCAACTCTTCTATCATTCCAATCCTCCTTTACGGGGGTGATACATGGGAGATAACTAAGACAGAGACAAAGAGATTGCAAACGTTTGTTAATAAATGCTTAAGAATAATCAATGGCGTCTTTTACCCCAACATCATTTCGAACGACAACCTTTGGAGAAGGTCTTAACATACTCCGGTACATGTAACTGTAAAGAAAAAGCGTATAACCTTCTTCGCGCATATTCTGAGGAATCATACCAATAACAGCCTAGTCCTTGATGCCATAAATTGGCTATACTCCTTCAACGGCAAATCCTATGGAAAGTTTAAAAGATTATGGTACTATAGGGCAATGAAAGACATCATGGATATAAACTTAAACACTAAACAGTTTCTAAGGCTAAATAAGAATAAGAGATCAATAAAGAAACTGCTTAAATCTCTCATTAAAAACAGGTTATTTTACTATATCTTTTTATCTCCTCTTCTCCTTGTCTACTTTTCTTTTTCTTCTCAATCTTACTTCTTCTTTTCATAACCTACTCTAGATTTCTCACCATGCTTTTATGATTAATTTAGGTCCTTCCTCTGCCTTTAAAGTATATAGATTTATAAGCATTTTACTGGGTGTGGGCTGTGCTTATTTTTGCCGATTCCTCTGCAGCCCACAGACGTTTAAGTAATAGTTTTAGGACTATTACGCGTACAAGTACGTGCGGCTTGCCCACAAACGTGTGAAGGGCTCCTCATTAATAATCCCCTGCTCTAATTTTTGTCCAGTTAGATGAACCATGAGGAAAACCTAACGTAGCTCTGTTGTATCCACAACCAGAGGGCGAAAACGTTCTTTATCACGTATCACGTATTTCATAATATAATAATATAAATAAAACATATTAAATCATATCATATGTTTATTTGTTGATAAATAAATCAAATTATTTACTAAAAATAAATAAATAATAATTAATGCTAGGCATATCTTACGGAAGGCTGACGGACGATTAGCCGATGCAGAATTTTTGACTAATTAAGTTTTCGCCGATTTCAAATCTAAATCTCGGCTAAAATTAGCAGTTTATGCAACACTAATCACTATGCCATCCGCGTAGCATATCACCCTATTATCTAAGTAACACAAATGATAAGATCTTAGTTCTAAAAATTAGCAGTTCCCAACGTTTCTTTTATAATTTTGCTTATGACAATATTAAATAGCAACGGGGAAACAACACACCCTTTCCCTTTTTTGTTCTGAAGGATGGAGAAACTTTATTGTTAATTTTAAAAGTATCAATAAGACTACAGTAGTGCGTCTTGAGGATAAGGTTGTGAAATCCTTTAAATATCTTGTGTCACCATTGACAATAGAGGTAGTTGCAAAGAGAAATCTAAAATCCGTATACAAAATACGAGGGCAGCTTTTTATAAATTTTTCAAACTGTGGAAAGCTTCTGTATTTACAAGATCCATCTTCTCTATGGCGCAGACATATGGAAGATTAGACAAGAAAATTGCAAACATTTGTAAATAAATGTCTAAGAATAATAAACGGCACATCTTCTACCCAAATATTATTTCGAATGAAAACCTTTGAAAGAGGTCAAACCACACTCAATTACATGAGACACTAAAAACGCGCTTTACCTTCTTTGCCCATATTTTGAGAAACCATAGAATAATAGTCTGGTTATCGATGCTATTAGTTGGTTATACTCCTTTAATGGGAAAACATATAGCAATTCTAAAACATCATGGTTCTACAGAGCTAAGACAAACGAATTTACATTTCCTGAAATTGAATAAAAACAAAAGGCCTATAAGGAAACTACGAAAAATCAAATCACTTAAATCTCCTTTAAACTCCTCCTTGATACAGATTTTAATCTTTTTATTTCACTTATTCTCTGACTTATATTTTATTGACACTAGCTCTTTTCTTATTTTTATTTTAACTTATCATAGATACATACAATGTACTTTAAAATCAAAATCAGTCCTTCCCTTGTCTATAACGAAATTTAATACATATGCAATTCATGGGTGTGGGCTGTGTTTTTCTGCCCCTTCCCTTTTAATCAGCCGACAGTCGTTTAAGTTAGTCCTAAGACTATTGGGCGTACAAGTACGTGCGGCTTGCCCACAAACGTTTGAAGGGCTCCTCATTCCCCCTTACCCTAAACTATATATCCAGTTTGATGGATTTGAGGAAAACCTAGCGTAGCTCTGTTGTATCCACAACCAGAGGGTGAAAAGTTTTTAATCACCTATCACGTAAATTTATGTGAAAAAAAATCCGGATTTTTTTTTCCCTGGGAGTTTATTCATCGGGGGTTTTTTTCCTGGGGATTTCTGGGAGTTTTTTTTCCTATTACCATTGATGGAAGGACGAAATATTGAATTACTTAATAAATGATCTTGGTATAAAACATAATTATTAAAATTAATATATAATAAATTTGGAAACTAAAGAATACCAAAGAACCTGATTATGTGTGTATAATGTGTTTAAAATGGGTCCACGCCTCTTGTACTATTATCAAGCATATATTGTATAGTATACAATTAAAATTTTCATTTTTCCAATAAGATACACTTCCTTGAAAGTGTATTTAGCACAGCGAAAGCTATGTTGAACAATAATCACCATTGTTTATCTGATCAAAATTTTAAAAATCAATTGTTTTTAAAAATAAATAAAAAATTATTACAAAAAGGGCAAATTTTTTTTTGTATATAATATTTAATTTTTTAAGTAACGAGTAACCCTTTACTTTTTTGTATAGTCAGTAACGCGCGTTCCTTTTTTCACAAGGTAACGAGTAACGGTAACGCGTTCCTTTTTTAAGACTAACGAGTATAGCGTTTTTTTGTAATGCTTACATACAGCACTTATAAATTTCAAGTATTTTGCGTTGATCACGAAATCGCAATTTACCAAAATTGAAGAATGATTTAAATTAATTTCGGGGAAATATAATATAATATATATTATTTATATATATTATTTATAATATTATACATTTTTGTTTTATAAATTATTAATTTTTAAAAATTCGATATTATATGACAAATAAAAAAATATTAATTTATGGATATTATGTGTTGATAAAATACAATAAAATGCATATATATACCGGGTAGCTCAAACAAACGTGGGGTTTTCAAATCTTTATAACTCTAAAACACGGCATTTGCTATTATATGAAATTTCGTATTTTATTAAAGAATATATAGAATTTTATATCCTCAAATTTTAAATAATTAGATTACGTCGATTTTTTAGAAAATTAAAGATATGAATATTTTAAAAAATTACAGTTCCTCGTTTATTATTATTCAAAATGGGCTAGGTGGGTTCCCATTATGTTGTTCTATATCTTGACACTCGCCTTTTTTCAAAATTTTTATTTTTAATGTAAAACACAAAGCATAATTTGAGATCTTAGAGAATTATCAAAATAATAAATATAATTAATTTAATATTATGCTAATCTATACTTTTTTTTCTTGTATAACACCTAACAATCAACGCAAACTTGATTATTTCTTGCGAAATTAAGGGCCATATTTCACCAATTTTTCTTTCAAGTGTAATTAATATTCAGAAGGTAATAGCCACTAATTTTTATAGAATCGACAGAAAGCAAGAACTTAACCAAAATAAAATTAATGAAATTATTTTCGTGTTTTACCAATTCCTGAGTCGCAACAATAACAATTCACTCATGAGAGATTACATGAATTAAGCTCTGAGGAAGACATTCAATTCGCCTTTCTTTTTGATCAAGCGATAAAAAAACTTTATAAAAATTTATAATCAAAAAAATCTAAACGTTTTATATACATACCGTCAAAATACCGAAATAATAAAATCAAAAATCCCTCACTAATTAAAGCACGTTTTGTCAAAAAATAATAAAAATTACTTCCGAGGATCAATTATCTGTTTAGATCAATATTTTAAATAAGACTTGTTTATTGCGACTTAAAAATTTAATTTATTTTGACCAGAGCCAAAACCAAAATTTTTATTTTTTTTTAGGCCCAAGTTTAATATTTTCAGGTTCCATAAGTCTGTCTAAAGGCCGATAAATATAAAAATGTAATTTTCACCAAACTGCATTCATGATATTGCAGCTGAGATAATTCTTTTGCGAAAATGCATCTGTATAATACATTCGCTATATCATTCTTGTGTAAATTCATTTTAATGTATTCGCGATAGTGCATTAGCGGAAATAACTTTCCATGGTAAAGCATTCGTGAAAATGCATTTTGCGCTAAAATTTTGGCGGTAATGACATGTAACAGTAAAAATATCTAATGATAAAGTTAAAAAATATGAAGAGACTGCAAATGGTACAGGCAGGGTTTCAAACCTATAAGATATTTTGGCCAAGTTTAGTTTATTATCAAACAAAATCAAAATTGTGAACCTGGATCAGTTCAAGGAGTTCAGAAAAATAAATTTGGATTCTCAATCAAGTTTATTTTTTAAATGTAAAACAATATTTTAAAGCCAAAGGGCTATTTTTATTCTCATTGAAATTTGAAAAAAAAGTCAAATGCCCATAAACCACCTTTTTTTCCAAAAACGAACATGGTTGTCTTAAAGCAGTAGTGTCACTAGGGAAGGGGGGTAAACACCCCTAAAAACTTGAAAGGCTTCCTATATTATTTTTAAAAATACCTTTAAAAAAAGTCATTTTGAAATTGTTAGCTAAAAAAAATTATAGATCATTTTTAGCACAAAAAATTACAAATTAAAAAAAAATTTTGAACTCCCCTGAGATTTTAAAGGCTAATGACACCATTGCTGATAAATTCAAAATAATTAATTTACAATATAAATGCTACTTGGCAAACAGCAAAATTTAATAGCCCATTTTGAGGATATTGAATAATCATATAAAGGATGATAATATTTTTGACAATCAATGAAAAAGACTCAAAATATGTCTAAATAAATGTAAAGCTATATTTTAATGTGATATTAAAAATACTTTAAGTGTAACATAATGGCAAATGAGTGACAGGATATAAAATACTTGGGATATTGACTCAATAAAAGTTGCTAGTGAATAAAGATAAACTGATATTACATAATATGGTATCAAGTTTGGATTTGGGGGAGTCAACATTGATGTCCATATATAAGAAAATATTACATTTAATAAAATATTTAAAGGAACACTATTTAACATAATTAGCATTTAAATTAGACAATTTATTTACCATAACCACAAAATATTAACAATTTTTGATTTATTATTAATATTTCCAGCTATGCATGTTCTTCTAAAACCTTCAGTTGATAAAAATATCACAGTAGAATATAATAACATTAATCTAATGAATTATAAATTTACATTTTATTTAAATATTTCAAACCTAACATTTACAATTCCTAATATATCTTTTGATATGTATCTTATTATGAAGACGTTCAATAAAAATGATACTACCCTAAAAAATATCTTCGAGAAATTAGAATTACTTACATAAATTCTTAATTTACTTGTCCTAAAAAATTAAATTTAGCAGATTTTACAGCATTTTTAAAAATTAAATTTTCCACATGCATTACGATTTTTATGTATGTGTGAACTATTACTTATGATAAAAATCTTTAAGTTCTATTCAATAGCCGATTTATAAATAGTCATACTTAAAATTCTGGTAAATAAAATGATTGTTAATTTCTGACTCTTAGTGAGGATATAATATAATCTTTGGAGATGATCGAACTTATCACAGCGTCAACATTATCGGGGTAGGGGGGGGGGGGGGGGGGGGGGGGGGGTTTAGAAGTTGTTTGTTTCCAAATTTATTTTAAGGGAAATAGACATCTAGTATAAGTTAAATTATTGCGGGTTATGAAATAAGTTTTTGGATAAAATAGGGTAAAAAATATTTGTAAAAATTTATTAATACTTATATTATAAACCTGTTTAATATACATATTTAAGCTTGATATTCACAACCTCTATATTTTGAACAATACAATCGTAATTAAATAATTTTATAAAAAAACTTATTTCTGAATAATTTTCTGCTATATTTACAAATGTATTTTGAAAAGGGTAGAGATTCTAACAGCAAACTTAAATTCATGCTCAACAACTATAATAGTACATTCATTGTAAATGTGTAGAAGGTTTTTAATCTAATCTATATTCTAACAAATATTTCCATAATCACAATTTTTGAGTTTGTAGCAATGTCACATAAAATTACAATTATAATTAAAATTAATAAGTAGAAATATAACAACCATAGGCGCGAAATTTTTTTAAGGGGATTTGCTCCCATAAATTTATTGTGATGTTGACGCTGATTTATTCATAGAGGATCCCTCTAATTGATTTCTTATATCGGAAGTGTTATGTTGAATTATTGTATGGAGAGTGCGAATTATTGGATATAGTTTAAGAAATTTAAAATAATTCTTAAATAAGTCTAATGGGAAAATAGAAAACACCTATCATTTAAACTCGTTAAAAATATAATGTAATAACTCCATAATTATTTAAAAAACGGTTTTATAAAAGTGATAATCTAACAATTTCACGGAAATACATTCACGGTAAAAAAATTAATATAATGGGTTGGCGATATGTTTTGCCAAAAAATATTTATGACTTATGTTTGCCATATCAAATTCGCGATAAAAGTTTTGTTATAATGTATTCGCTTTAAAATGTTTGAGAATTCTGTTAAAATAAAATAACTCTAGAATTCAAAAAATTTTTTTTAATCATTTTATATGTTAAATCGATGATTTTTTTAAAAATATATTACATTTATTTTTTAATTTTTATAGCTAATAATAGCAATTTAAAATATATAGCCATCCCGGATATTTTCTATAGGCCCTGGATAGGATTGTGAAATCAATACCAATTTCAGCTTCAATACCTAATGATATTATCATTGTAGTTTCAATATCGTATTGTTATTTTCCTATTGTATTGTAGAATAAATAACATGTTTATTTTTGAGAGATGTTTTTATCGCTTCAAATATATTGGCGACCATTAAAATTGTAACATATTATTCCTTATATATTTTTTCATCGATTCAAATATATTGGTAGCCATTAAAGTTGCAAAATATTAATTCATTATATATTTTTTTATCGATTGGCGCCTATTAAAATACTTATTTATAATATATTTTTTCATAGCTTCAAATATATTTGCGGCCATTAAAATTGTAACATATTTATTCATCGCTTCAAATATTGTGGCCATTTTCGATTTGTAAAAATATTATTTTAAATAGATTTTAAAGTTTTAAATATATTAATGATAAAAATAATTTTCTATTCATTTATATAATTTTTTCAGGGAATTTATTTATTTTATAAATTTTGATATCCCATATAATTTTTATTTGGAAACTCATCCTGCATAAATTTTAAATAAATACAATGTATGCAAGTTTTCTTACATTATCCATTTTATTATTCGAAATTCAAGTCTTAAAATTTTTATAGGACAAAAGATTAGACTAATCATAGAGACTTATGAGGCTTCTATTACGTCTAATGATCGTCAATAACTATCACCCTGATTGTGTTGCCATCATTTCCTGTTGGTTCATCTTAAATTTGTTATTTTATTTTTTAGATGCATATATAATTATATTTTTAATCATATTTTTAGCTAATTAATATACATAAGTGCAAATACTTTTAAATGCGAAAAAAATGCGCCATTGTTAAAATCTACAATGGTATTATGTTAAAATATATTTTTAAATGCAAATAGTTTAATTGCGAAAAATCGGTTAAATGCGAAAAATTTTAAATCTTATTTATATGTCAACAACGTCATTTTTATCGATGGCATAAAAAAATTTTAATATAAAAATAATAAAACATTGAATAAAATTTTAAATCAAATCTTAATGTTTTAAATTATTCTTTTCAAATTGAAGCAACTAATTTTCTTTATATGTATATTTATTCTATTGCAATATTATTAAACTGGCTGATTTCTTAATACATATAAATAAAAAGAATAAACATAACTTTATTTCAGAAAAAAACATGAAAATGTTAAAAAAGTAAATATATCCCACAAAAGGAAACATAATTATCACAAATTCTATTAAAATGACTGAAGATGCATTTATTAAATATCGATTTAAATGAAAATCTTTAATACTATTTATTTTTGACAATGGTGAGTATGTAATATATTTCATATTATTTCCATTTTTACACAACATGGAAAAGGTGGTACATCTATTACAGAGTTGGGTAGTACCGCCAATACTTGTATCTAAGATACAAGATTTTTTTGTATCTTGAACTCAGTATCTTTTGACATTTTTTAATATGATACTAGTATCTGTAACTAAGATCTATTATTCTGAAATGAATTTTATATCTTTTGCATTTTCTTGACAAAAGATACAGATACAGATTCTTTTTAATATTCAAGTTTAAAAAAATTTACATATCAAGATTATAACCTTATTTTTTTAACAACCAAAATTAGCTGCTCAATAAGATATATAAAAATAAACATCAAAACGAAATAAAAAGAATATTATAATTAAATGTAACTCGAAAGAATATAATTACTAATTTTATATTTTTTAATTTGTAAAATGATAAACACTCTGATAGTGGTAGTGAAAGGAAAATTATAGAAATAGTTTCCCTTGAATCAAATCCCATTCTTAAAATTTAGATTTAAATTTTTTTAAATAATTCAAATTATAGGCTGAATGTCAAACCTTTAAACACAAAAAAATGATAAAGGGTTCAATATACTCCTCTACAAAATTTGTTAAACATATTAAAGTATATTATTTATTCATTATTTTAAGTTATAATATATATTATATTATTCAATATAAAGCAAACTCTATCAAAATATAAAAAAAATTAACCCAGTATATCAGCTTCATTTAATGCCAGTGGAAGGCCCAAATCTTCTGAAAAGATAAGGAAGAGAACAAGTGGTAAAATAGTCTATATGATAGTATGACGTCACTGTTAAAATATAAATCACATTTTAATTTACTATTTGAAACAAATGATTGTCCCATTATTAAAAAGGCGGATGTTGTTTATATTGAGGAATATTATTAAAAAAACTACAAGAGAGGCACTAATTCTCAGAATTAGCATTATTTGTGGTTACATATTAATAGTTGCCGAAGATTGGGAAATTTATTTTTTTAATGTAATGAATATAACGAGGCTTTTTTGGCATTATTATCACATTAATATTTTCAGAACTTATGAATTATCGGATGATAAAAAAATATTTTTATATTATTAAAAGAAGCCCTTATTGAGTGCCAATAGTATATAATCAAGTTCAAACTATAACACCAAAATTTAATATCGAATACAGAATATGTTGACTATTTTTCCTTTGGTGAAACAAATGTTGCTGGGTTCAATATAAATAACATTGAGCTGAAAGATTTAAATTATTTTAAAGACTGTAGAAATACATTAGAAATGCTTACTTATTATTCTTCCATTAATGAATTTTTTTTAAATATAATACTGCAATATCTTAATCAGCTCCTGTTGAAAGGTTATTTAGTTTTGCTTTTGGCACAATGTTTACGCCAAAACGGCATAATGATAAATTATTTGAAAAAATTGATTATCATAAAAAATAATGATTTAAATTAATCTATTTTAAATACTCTTTTGCAAATTAATATTTCAACTCATCTTAAAAATATTAATCTCTCTTCCATCACTATGCTATGAATGGGCTAAAACTAAATATAAATGGTCTGATTATTATAACTAACTAGTCATTAAATATTATATTAATTATTGTAAATTCATTCTTATTACATGCTGTGTTATGTTCTTTCCCAATAAATAAATTTTATAAAAGTATCTGGTATTTAAGATACTCTCATTTGGAAAAAGATACAAGAATCTTTGATATTTTGAATAAGATGCTTATTTATATCTAAGATCCCTTTTTTATAAATAATCTGTATCTGTATCTAGATTGCTTTTTCGGAGGACCTGCCCCAAATCTGATCTATTATGCAAAGTGGAAGAAAATCTTTTATTTGCATGTTTTAAATTATTCTTTCTAAACTAAAACAACTACTTTATATGTATATTTATTTTATTGCAATCTATTAAAACTGACTAATTTCTTATAACTATATATAAAAAAGGGATGTACATAACTTTATTTCAAGAAAATATATCCTAAAAAAGAAAACATAATTATCTCAAAAAATTTATCATATAATTACATTATAATTTAATTTAATTATCTGAAGATATTAAATATATATTTAGATGAAAATCTTTTAACTATCTATTTTTGACAATGTTGAATATGTAATATATTTCATATTACTCCCATGTTTACAATATTGAAAAGTTGATACAAAAATGGAAGAAATTTTTGAAATCTTTTATATGCTTTCTGATATCCAAAGGGCCGTAGCCACGGGAGGGGGTACTAGGTTCCTTTATAAATGGCCCCCAAACCTGGCCTCCAAAAATTAACCTTTGGCCCCAAAAAAATTTTCCGGCCTCCCAAATTTTAAAAAAAAGTTTTGTAATTTATTATTTTTATATTTTTATATTTTTAAATAAATTTTAAATATTTATTCAAAAAACATGTCTAGTTTGTTTATTTCTTTCTATCCTGTTTTATTTTTATTTGATAATAAATCATTATTTTATCCTATAATAAATCATTCATTCATATTTTACCATTTTCATGTGTGTATTTTTATAACATTGGCGCTTAATTATCATGTATCATGTTTAAATTGTACTTATTTCAATGATAATTATTTTATTTATTATAGTTCAATCACAATATTATTATTACAATATAAACAGTTATTTAAAACAACGGTAAATATTTTATAATTATGAAGACATTTATTAATTCCTATTTCAAGTTCAACAAATGTCAAGCAACATCACATTTACTAAAACTACTAGTATTACTACATCAGAAATTCTTGAAACTGATTCTGGTCATTGTTAGTATAATTTAATATTATGTTTTGTTACTTAGTGATGAGCAAAAACTAATCTTTATAGAGTTGGCAATCCCTATATATTGTCAAAAAAGTCCACTAATAATTCAAGTTCATGATCTTGGCCAGAATGAACCAAAACAAATCAAATTAAACAATTACGTGAAAAAGATATCAATAAAAGGCTACGATAATTTTAAAAATCATGGTGTAGAGAGCGAGACTGGTTGGAGTACAATGTAGAAGCTGGCGCTACTTTTTGTTTTCCATGTAGGAAATACTTGTGTAGCCCAAGTGATTAATTTAGACAAATGGTATTTAGAAATATGAAAAATGCGTTAGCTGCAAATAAGGGATTGTAAAACATGAAAGCTCAAAAGCTCATTTAAATTCAATAACAATTTGGCATGATAAAAATCTAAATATAAATAAGGATATGGGATAACAACAATTTTGGTAAGCCAACAAATTAACCTTAATCGTTACTATCTTAAATCAATATTTGATTTGATACCATTTCTTGGCATACATGAGCTACCTTTTCGTGGGACTTGTCAACAAAAATTACGGATTCTGCAAATTATGAAAATATAATTTATTCTTCTGGACTATTTATAGCACTGTTTTCATACAGCATCAAAAAGATCCTGAATTAAATAAAATTATGAAATTTATACCCAAAAATTAAAATTCCCATTATACATCACCCCAGATTCAAAACGAAGTAATATATTTTATGGCAGATATAGTGTATATTTCAGATAAATATAACAAAAGTGAGATGCCATTTTTTTGTCTTACGGCTGATGAGACAAAAGATGCATAAGGTTGTGAGAACCTGAGCATAATTATTCGCTATATTTTTTCTGGAGAATTATTAATTTACACTATCTTTCTGCTAAGAGCATTGCTGATTGCATTTTAAAGCAACCTAATGAGATAAATATTAATTCATAGAATATAATAAACCAGCTTATGATGGTGCATAGGTTATGTCTGACCAAAATGAAGGAGTCCAACCCTACTTCAAAGAAAAAATTAATAAATAAGTTCCTTTAATACATTTCTACAACCACAAGTTGCATCTTGTGGTTCAAAAGTGGCATAATAATATTATCAATTCTAATTTTTTTAAATTTATCCAAAGCATTGTATAATTTTTTTAGGCTTTTCAACGTATCCTGTAAATATACAGGTCATACTCTTAAGAGACTTTTAGACCAGAAGTGGACTGGTTTTAGAAACATCTCAATCATTTATGAGAATTTTGAGGCTATTGAAGTATTATTTTACTTTTCTAATAGAACTCTTAATTCAGAGGTTTCCACTTATGATTCAGTCGAAGCTTCTGATCCTTTATTTCATTAATATATATGTTATATTGGCCATTATAATTTATGAGATATTAATAACAATAGATCCACAAATTAAGTATCTGTCAGTAGATATTAATCTAGCGGATGCTAAAAATTGTATTGATTCCACGATCAATTTCCTAATTGCGTCAATACAACTTTGGATTCAAACCAGTACACTGTTATGGAGTATAAATTCACAGGCAAGCTACAAATAGCGTCTCTTAACATAAATGGTATGAAAAACAAGCTGACGGTTCTCCTAAGGATGTTAGAAGCTGAGAAAATCGATATTATTGGCATTCAGGAAACCCACTTTCCAGGAGTGAATACAGCTACTTTTAATGACTATAAAACTTTCTGCTCGGGCACCACCTTGAATAGTTGGTCTGGGATAGCGTTCCTTATAAATAAGCGTATGCAGAAATACATAATCAAATTCGTTCCGGTATCAGATAGATGTGGACTGTTATATTTGAACACGAATTTTAGGCCCACAATAATCATTAATTTTTATGTCCCTCCCAATAGGAATGAGAGATCAAGTTTCGTTGATTCTATGATAAACACGATACACTCCCTACCGGGAAGATATAATATAATTATCTTAGGAGATTTTAACATGAAATTTGGCAAAGAAGATGAATATGTAAATAGTAATGTTATTGGGCATGCTAAAATACTACAACGAAATTGTGAACATAGTAAGAAACTCCTTGATTTCTGTAAGAACAATAATTTTAAGATCGAAAATACTTTTTTTAGCCACCGTGAAAGTAACACTTACACCTTTGTAAGGGCTCAGCAAAAATCCCAAATTGATTTTTTCATTTCGAATGTTCACCGGTGGTTTGATGATGTAAAAGCACTAACAAATATCAACATATCAGATCACAGAGTGCTCAGAGCAAACATTACAGTTAAAAACCTATGGAGTTATCACAGTGGAAGTAGACAAACTTCAATTGGTCCTAATACTAATCTCTCGCCCACAAATATAACACGTAAACCCATTAAAGTACAAACACCAGAAGATGCGAGACTGTTCGATCAAATATTAATTAGAAAAGTAGCTAACTTTGTAAATATAACTAGACAGGAAAATGTAGAAGCATGTTGGAAACTTTTTAAAAGTGGTCTTACAGAATCATACAACGTTTTGCCAAACGCGACTCCTTTCTCTAGGAAAGAATGGATGGCTAATGACACTCTAGAGAAAATAAATTTGTTAAGAAGCGTGAACGGCCCAAATAGCGACTTATGGAAGGATATACAGAAACTACTACGCAGAGATAGACCAATATATATCGCGAGGAAAGCCTTTGACATTGAAAGGGATATGAAGGAAACAGGATATATGACGCATATAAAAAATTAAAATATTTTTGTAAACCTAGTAGCTTTAAGAAACTCCCCTACATTGCCTTAAGGAATGGGAAAGTGATCATAGATCAAGATGAACAAATAGCTGTATGGCTTGACTATTACATGGGAAAGTGATCATAGATCAAGATGAACAAATAGCTGTATGGTTTGACTATTACATGTCAATCTTCGATTCAAGGAAAGCAACCCCACCAGCTAGCTTAAATATAATCTCGGTCTCACTCCCATCTGGCTTTTCTATAGATGAGATCACTAACATAATAAAAAAAATTACGTAGAAACAAAGCTCCGGGGCCTGATGACATAACAGCTGAGTATCTGAAAATTGCACCTAGGACTATCTCTTCCTTCCTTTTGACCCTTTTTAACAAAATAAGGGAATGTGGGAAAACTCCGGAGGAATGGAATTAATCATTTTAATGTTATTTCCCCAAAATTGAGAACCCACAGAATTTCACAGATTATCGTGCCGTCGCTCTGACATCATGTGTATCTAAAATATTTATGACGTTATTAAAAAATAAAATTGTGCAATCGAAGCCCCGTCTTTTCCCCAAATACATTTGTGCTTATAGGCCGAATAAAAACATATTAGAACCAATATTAGCCTTGAAAATAATAATGCAGAGATGTTATAAATACAAAATATCATCCTATTACACTTTCATCGACTTTAGTAGATCTTTTGATAATGTTAATCACGGAGCTCTATGGGATACGCTAGCTGAATGTGGAATAGAACCTCAAATAATCCTCATCTTAAAAAACCACTACTCTAAATTAGTAGCGTGTTTTAGAATAAACGATAAAATATCTCCCTGCTTTAGAATTAAAAAAGGAGTAAAACAGGGGTGTACTCTATCATCACTCCTATTTAACATGATAATTAATAAAGTTCTAAGAGAAGCACTAGGGGCAGCTGATCTTGTTGATCTAAGATCTGATAAGTCCATATCCTTTGTTAACAGAATAATATCTTATGCTGACGACATTGTTGTAATCTCCAAGAGCATAGATGAAACCAAAAATTTATTATACTTACTAGAGTCCCTAAGTCAAAGAATAAATTTCAAAAAAGTTATTCTCCCCTCCCCAAATGCTCCACCAATGGACAATCTTACTTTTGGAGGAAAGATAATTAAGGTTGTAGATAAAATTAGATATTTGGGTATAACACTAGACAATAAAGGTAGTGGTAAAGAGGAATTGTCGATAAGAATACAAAAGGCGAGGGGAACCTTCTACAAGTATATGAAAATTTGGAAAACAAAAGAGATCTCTGTTTTTACACGACAATTGTTCCGATTCTATTATATGGTGGGGAAATTTGGGAAGCAAATAAGACGGAAATGAGACGATTACAATCATTTATAAATAATTGTCTACGTATAATTAATGGCATTTTCTATCCAAGAGTCATATCAAACCAAAATCTCTGGAAAAAATCTAATCCCACGCCAATTAATATCACTGTAAAAAAACGCCGTATACAGTTCTTAGCTCATATAATAAGGAACTCCGACCACAATTTAGCTCATGACGCCATAGCATGGCTGTACACATATAAGGGAAAACAATACACAAAATATAAATCCTTATGGTACTATAAAACCATAAAGGATTTAAATATTATTATGAAACAATTCATAAAACTTAATAACAATAAAAGATCCATCAAAAAACTTTTCCGCATTAAAAATAGTAACCTCAAATGAAAACGTATTTTGAAGTTCTTTGATAACATATCATTATCTAAAGGTTCCCAATCAACAATTTTTCAACTTTTTGGAAGTATTCTTTAATTTTTCTTACTAAAACTTGTATTAAATTTGTAAAATTATTAAATTAAAAATGATCCACCGCCCACCCTTAAAGTAATTAAATTATATTGTAGTTTTTGGGTATAGGCTTTTTCTTTGTCCCAATCCTTTTAAATTAAAGCCTATAGAGGTTTAAGCAACATTTTTCGAAATGGTGTGCCTACAAGTACGTGCGGCTTGCCCACAAACGTGTGGAGGACTCCTCATATTTTTACTTTTATTCCCAAATTAAATTGTTCCAATTAGATGGAAATGAGGAAAACCTAGCGTAGCTCTGTTGAATCTTCAACGCTAGAGGGCAAAAGCGTAAAAAATAAAAGAAGCGATAATTCTTTTCACTTGATTAGAATTAAGGCTGAAAAATTTTTAACAAAATTATTCTCACTCCCCAAAAATCATCAAGGGTACGTAAAACGCCTATAAATTTTCAAGATTTTATAGTCGAGACCAAATTACAATTTGACTGTGAAAAAGACTCCAATTGGAGTTTTTTAAAAGGGAATTATTATAAAATTATTGGATCGTTTTTTAGATATGATTATAATCTTCTATCATGTTTTAATACATTGTCCCCCTTTAACCCTAATTATTTTATATCGGACAAAATGGCCCGATTATAATAATTATTAAACTTTAATATGGAAACTTTACATTTACATCATGGAAAATAGCTAAAGGATTATTAGCTGCAGAAGTTAAAGAAACACATAATTTTGAAAATATCCTAAATAATATATAAAAAAAATATCATTATTTAAAAGAATTGTATAAATGCTACTCGGCAGCCATTATCATTGGGGTATCAACGGCTTCTTGGGCCTTGTTCTCTACACTAAAGAGAGTTCTATCGAGCATTAGAGACTCGATGAAAGATCAACGTAAGCAAAATTTAGTATTGATGGCTTATGAAAAAAAAATAACACAAAATTTATCCTTTAATTCATTTATATTATAATTTAAAAATAATAATCTTCGTATTTATTATAGTATTATTTTGTATATTCATGTTATTATATTATTGTGTAATTTTTAATAAAAATAACAAAAATTTCTATGAATGTTTAATTATTTGTTTTATTTAAAAAAAAATAGTGCCTCACCAAGTAAGCAGCTGACCCCCCTAGCTGAAAATTTCAGGCTACGGCCCTGGATATCTATCACATAATCAATAGTGTCTTAAAATAATTGTGGCCACCAATATCTATAATCACAAAATTAAAAAATTTAACACCATAATAAATACCTTTCAGAGTTTTATTAATACCTAGGTTGGTTCCAATAGCTTTAAACTCTAGGGATATATTTAATTTTTCGTGAATTATATATATTAATCCTTGTTTCTCTTCTTCTTCCATTAATAAATACTAATAAATAAATAGCAAATTATAATTTTGTGATAACATTATACAAATCATTGTGGCCACCAATATAAACACAAAATTAACAAATCTAACACTATACTGTCAGAGTTATAATTGATTTTAAATGCCCGTATGCGCTCCAATACCTTAAGACTCCAGAGCTATTTAATTTTAGTAATTACAGCTATTACCCATTTCGCTTCTTCTTCCATTATTACTAAAGGTAATAAAAAAAATGAAAATTATTATTTTGTGATGATTTTCTTTTTGAAAAATCTATAAAATTTTGTGATGTGGTAATCTATAATTGTCGATTCAAAGTTTTATAAATTATATTTTAATTTTATTCGTAAACGTTGAGGTTCGGTCATAAATTATGAATACGGTATTAATATTACAATATTGTAGAATAAATACCATATTGATTTTAGATGGTATCGATTTTACAATACTTCACCGGCCCAGGTGTTTAAAAAATTTTTTTTAGGCCCAGTCCATGTGACCGCGCAGGGGCCTGCAGGCCTTTGATGGATACAAATTAAATAAAATGTAGGTCTGTACCAATCCACAAATTTTTCACCGATCCGATCCAATATTACTAAAAAACTGATCCGATATTTGTATTGATTTTTATTTACCATCTTTCTTTGTATAATTGTCATAAATAGATCAATATTTACTTTAAAAACAAACTAACACGAATGATTAAGTGAATTTTATTTTTCATAAGTTAATATTCTCATTTAAAATATTTGCAATATTTATGAGTGAATGTAGTGTTGCTAAACAGCTCCATAGCCAATTTTTAAAAAGGGCCAAATCAAAATTTAAGAAGTCCAAACCTTTCTGATATCTGTGGAAAAAATCAATAAGCATAGGCAAGGCCAAAATTTTGAGTTAATCGCTTATAAAATTGGCCAAATCGAGTCGTTTAGCTACACTAACAGAATATGACTCGCGATATTTTAAAATCCTTTACATTTTGCAGATAATATAACAAAAATAATGTAAAATTTATAACTATTTTTTTAAACATTACAATAAATAAATTATATATTAGTTCCTCAAAAATAAATATTATATGATTATATACACAATTATAAAATAACCAAAATCAATAAAAAAATATCGGATCGGTTTTTTAAAAAAATTGGTCCGATCCGATATTAAATATCAGCACAAAACTAATAAACGCAACTTTACATGAATATTGATTAAATTATGGGGGTTAAATATACTTTTATTTAAGATGGTAATATACAATAAATACACATAATTTTTAGTGGTTTCTTAGATATTATATTTAACTCAAATTATAAAAAAAAAATTTAGTCGGGCTCGGGTCGGTCTAAAAATGTGTGCTCGGCTAGGACAAAAAATTTTTTTAGATTCAAGTTCGGGTCGGGCTGCAAAAAAGTAACTTTTCAGACCTCTAGTATACCATATAATCTGGATAATGAAAAAAATAACTCCGTTGAATCGGATTCAGAAGAATCTGTTGCAGAGAACGAAATATTAATACTATAATGAATGAATAAAAATATAGTATAATTTAATTATATACATTCAATGAACAAATATTGTATATTATACTATTATATATACCATAATAATATTCTCTTAAAATATATTTATTTGGATTTGACGACCGAATGATATTAAAATAATTAAATTATATATTCATTACATTAAATATATTTTCAAGCAAAATATAAGAATAGAAGCAATATACTGAATTTTAATATTTCATAACTATTTTTTAATCTTAACAATGTTCAACTAATATTTTTATATAAACTAGAATTAAATTTAAATATTTTTTATAAACTATATAAAAAAATATTTTAGTATCAATATTTATAATTTAAAACACCACAATTTAAACAATTTTAAAATTATTTTTTAAAACTCTTTCAGAGGATAATTTTTTGTTTTATGGCATAGATTTATTTTTATCTAAAAAATTTAACTATATCAGTGCAAAATTCGAAGTTTTGAATAAGAAATTCATTTCCACTCCAAATTTAATTAATAATTATTAAGATCAAGATATGAGGATAGCAAATTAATTAATCATTATAAAATAAAATAAATAAAAAGTAAAATTTATAACATATTTCTTTTCTTGATTATTACATTTTCGATCTAACTATTTATACTAACTTTTAGGGCTAGGCCGATATAGGATCGGCACCGATATTAGACGTTTTCAAAAATATCGTATCGGGCCGATCTTTTTTAAAAAACCGATTCGATCTGATATAACTTATTGTTTTTGGATATTTTATAATTGTATATATAATCTTATAATTTTTTTATTTTATAAATAATTTCATAATAATAAAATAATGAAAGGAACAAATATACAATTTATTTGTTGTAAAGTTTAAAAATATAGTTTAATTTTACACTATTTTTTGTTATATTATCTGAAAAAAAAGAAGGATTTTAAAATATCTAACGAGTCAGATTCAGTTAGTTTTTCTAAACGCCTCGAATTAGTCAATTTTAAAAACGATTAATTCAAAATTTGATCAAGAGTAAATTACCCATGCTTTTTCATTTTTCCCACAGATATTAGAAAGGTTTTGACTTCTATTGGCGAAATTTCGAGGCATAGGTAATAATATTTTAGAAAACTTTGATTTGGCCTTTTTAAAAATCGGCTAAATAAATGAACCTGTTTAACATTACTTCACCCATAAACATAGCAATAATTTTAAATGAGAATATTAACTTATAAAAAATAAAATATACTTATAATCATTCGTGAAAGTTAGTTGGTTAAAGTAAAAAATATCGATATATTTATGACATTGATACAAAGATCGATGGTAAATAAAAATCAGTACAAATATCGGAGGATTTTTTAGTAATATCGAAAAATATCGGATCGGTAAAAAATTTGTGGATCGGCACAGGCATATTAATTACACTAAAATTTACGTATTAATTTAACAATTTTATCTTTTTACAATTCATTTTCGTTAACTCTAATCATTAACATTTATATACTCTAAAAATCGTTCAAATCTAATATAATCAATTAACATTTTTATATAAACAATCACGAGAATTAAGGCAATCAGGAAGCGTGATTTTTGAAAACGATTAAATAAATCAGAACGTTGTATTGATTGCACCTTTATCTTATTTAATCTGTTTAATATTTATATAATTTTATAGTTTTAAAATATAAAAAATTTTTAATATTGGTGTATTTAAAAAATAATAAAGTTTATATTGAATTAATTCCTTTTTCAAATATAAATAATCTTGTATAGTAATTAGAATAAATAAAAATATATTATATTTTAATATTTTGGTATTTCCAATAAAGTTGATCTAAGCGTTAATATTGGTTTGTAATTTATATTATCGTGCATGAAACGGTAAAGAAGCATATTATATCATAAAAAATATTTAAGTATTAACACAATATAATTATTTTTAATAATTAGTAATTAAAATTAAATTCAAAATATAGTAAAATAAGATATAATAGAATGATGTTTAAAAAAATGAATAATTATTTAATGCAAGCAAAATAAATATATTTAATACCAACCCTATTTATATTTATTAAAAAAATATTATTTCTATTTTTGAGTTTAAGTAAAAATATATCAAAATAAAATAAAGATTTTAAAATAAATGAATCATGGGCGGGATAACACGACTTTATTACCTCCATATGAACCTTTTAGAGGGGCATCGTAATATATATTAAAGGTTTGTAATGCCCGACTCTGTACCCAGGCCAATCTGAAAACTTTTTATTTGGGCCAGGCCAGGCAAAAAATTATTGGACTGAATTCCTGATTATGATATTTGATAGAAGTGCTAATGCATCAAGTGTAATGTTTTCAATTTAAACATTCCCAAATATTATAAATAGTTGTTTATTTTGGTGTCCATCAACATATAATTTGTAATAATAAACTGGAAACGGGCTGGGTCAGGAACAAATTTGGCCGGACTGGGCAAAGGCCAACAGGCACAGGCCTGGAAATTTTGCCATATGTAGACCTCTAATAAGTATTATTTATAATAAAATTCTAACAAAAGAAAGTTAAAGCAAATCTAAATATACCGCTATTAAAATTAATAGGTGATATTTATTATAGGATAAAATGTTAGGTTCCAATGAGATGACTATTAGAAATTTTTTGAATATGTATTTTATATGAAATAGAATTAATTTTAGATACATCTTTTTAAAACATTACAAATCTGATTTTATCCATATACCACTTTTATTCGATATTTTTTTAAAAATAGATATTATTTATTTAGACGAAAAAGAAATATTTTTATTTATTTTTTGTAATTGGTAAATAAAAATAACAAATCTCTATTTAAAAAATGGATAAAAGGTCATTAATTAGAAGATTGTTTTAAAGAGATGGGTTCGTGATCGTCAGACATGAAGAGAAATCTTTCGACTCCATCTTTATTGATAGCAGCTATCCTAACGACGCCTCCGCTAGCCGCGTCACGTGCTATAGCTGAAAATATTATCGATTTAAGGTAATCCACGCATTCTTCCTTTGACTTGTTCGGACCGCCAAAGGTTCTGTTATATATAAGAAAAAGGAACTCAATGAATTAATAATGAATGTGGATATTTTGTTTCTAAGTAAAATCAAAAAATTTAAAATACTTATGATTAAACAGTAAATTTTATATGCAAGCAGGAGTAAATAATCTTAGAGGCAAAATTTATTGAAAAATAAAAATCTAAGAGAACTCTCTACATGATCTAAAGTAAAACTTCTTTTCGGATATAGTTAACTTTTCGTTATCGTTAATTAAATTTGAAACTCTTACTAGCGTTTGCAATATGTTTTTAATTTTGCCATAATTTTAAATATTTAGTAAGAATTAAAATATCTATTTGATATATAATTAATCTTCTATTTAACTCATAGTAGGCTTATTTTTATGCAATTATCATTATATTTCTTATATCAGTAATTAATTATTTGAAGTCTCGGTGGTATTGGGTGTTTCAATAAGTGAGGAGTAAATTACTATATTATTATTTTTTGGAATCGTAGTAATGACCAATACCGTGTTATGAAAACCAATAAGTTATGACTATTAGCCAATAAAAATATCTATAGCTAGTGGTAGTCAAAAAGACTATGACATATATTTATAGCCAATTTAAATAACTATAATGAATAGGTCTATAATGATATTTTTGCCGACATTAAAATGATATGGTTATAAATGTGCATATCTCGAAATTGTCACAAGATAAACAGTAAGTTTTAGATGCATAATCATCTTGGAAAGTTAATAAAACATTAAAACAATTTATCAAACATTTTTGCCGATCCGTTCCAGAACAAAATCTTGATCGGCCAATTCTGACGCCTTTTTATAATAATTTTGTTTTATAAGACAGAAGTTTTAATGTTATATCGATATTCCAAGATGTTTATGGATAAAAAATTAGCCGCCAATCTAGAGTAAATTCTAAGATACATATTTATAAATGGGCCATTTTAATATAGGCAAAAATATTCGCATAGCCCTAATAATAAATTTTAAAGCTTTGGCAAGTAGTTTTTCCAAATCAGTGAGCCATATTCCTCATCATTTTTATTTTATATCAATTATAATTTAAATTTTTGAATTCATGAATGTAATAGCCATTAGGAATAATACTTACTGATTTTAAAAAAATTACCCAAAACTATTAGCTATTTAAAGACCATGATTATTAGTCATATAGTCGTTTTATGACTCCTGATTATAGCTATTGTCATTTTTAATAAACTGCAAAAGTGGCTATAAAGATATTTCTTACAAAAAAGATCTAATACAAAAAATGAATAATAGTAACTTGTCAATGAGTCCTTGAACATATATGCTCCCACTCCCTCCAACTGCAAAATTTTGTTGGGTCATCATTCCCCCCAGAGGAATAGAGTAGACAGATCCCTTATTGGTGGCATCCCATCCAGCAACTATGAGGCCAACAGTGAGTTGATCACGATAATTGTAAGCCATATTCTTTAACACATTTGCTGCCATGTCCACTGTCACTGGGCATCCAAGGTTATGGCGTAAGAAGTCAAGTTCATATGCAGCAGCATCAGCCAGAGCCTGTGTGTCTGCTGCAGACCCTGAACGACAACAGTAGATGCGGTCAGTTATACGAGTCAACTTGTCAGACACTCTATTCACAATGTAGGAACCAGAAGATGTTCGAGAATCAGCTCCCACAACCACACCATCAGCATATTTGAGGGCTATCAGAGTGGTCCCCATGCCAACCTCATTATCACGGATCTCATGGACTTTTTGTTGTTTTGATAGTTGCTGGCTCCCATTTAGTGAACCATGATGATTATATACATGATTATTGAAATCAAGGGTCATATTCATATTTTGAAAATGTGTTTATTTTCCTTTTTTTTAAAAATGAAGAAGTAGAGTTTAAACAATAATGAACAAAATATTCTTAATTTAGAAATCTTTGCTAAATTTATAATGTTATAAAAAAATTGGTTACATGTTTTGATATAATTATATTGGGAATAAATTTAAAAAAAATTTGATGTAAAAAATATAACTGATGAGTAAAAGCAGGGAAACCATTATCTATAAAGATTCTTGTTTAGTTATGGTTCTGCTGCTCAAAATTAAACAGTTTGGTTAGAGTTTTGAAAAAATTATTTTAAAAAATTTAACATTTATTAGAAATTTTTTCTAAAATAAAGATATATAAAAACACACAACTTGAATATATCATATTTATTAGCACATGAACATACAAATAAAAACAAATATCTGGAAGGTCACTAATATTGAAGCCCTTAGACTTTATAGAATTTTCTGCTTTAATTTTTACATGTATTTAATCTCATATAAATAAATGGATTAATTTATATTTTTCTACAGTGTTATGGAAAATATTTTTATGTTTTTAATTTACTTGTAAATAAAATTGTTCAACTTGTAAAAATTATTAAAATAACAAAAATATGGCAATGTTTTATCAAATCTACATAACATTGTAATATAAGACTAAAATGTCAAAAAAAAATTAGAAAAGTTATATCAATTTAAATCCTCTCCAATATTCTAAAGAAAAATTTATAGTATAAGGTTTTCTAATAGTTGATAAAATCATAGTTTTATGTTGGTATAACAGTTCATTTCACTCCAGTTCCTTATGTAAAAGTCAATAAATATAATGCAAGGAATATATTTAAGTTAGAAATATTAGAAAATATGTAAGCTAATATTAATAACTTAAAGTAATATGGGTACTTATTGAATTTACATAGTTGATTAAACAAGTAATAAAATATTCAAAATATATTATCATAATAAATGAAGTATCCATATTTGCAAGATGTCAATATAATATCAGTAAAATACTAATTATCTAATTTGTTATAAATAATCTATATTCTTTAAATATATTATACAATATCTTGTTTTATACTTGGGAGAAGTTAGTATCCTATGTTATTTGATATTAGTAAAATTGATTTCTAGATTTTCATAATGATTTTGATTAAATATATGTTAATATTATGTTTGAAATGAGTATTCAAATAGCTTGGTGCTTATTATGTCAAAAACTTTTGAAACATAAATGACGACGACATAAAGATTTGATTAAAAAAACTCTAATCTAATTTTTGAAGCTAGTCATATCTGAAGGATGTAATATTGTTATTAGTATTTATTTTCAATGTCTTTTTCAAATTAAAAAGTAAGTAAATCTAGTCATTCGTTGTTTTTGGAACCCATGTAATCAAATCTTTTGAACATCTATGAAAACAATTAAACCATCAAACATAACAGATTAACCTCTCCCAACTACAAAATAAAATTAGGCATAAAACAAGGCTAAACCCAACATTTTCAACCTTCGAATTAATGACATTATCCAAACAAGTAATCAAATAAATGCTACACTGATGACATATGAAAATCATCATCTTTGCATTAATAAACAAAATATAATAAGTATCATTAAAATTATGAAATTTCAACATGTCTAAATATAATATTTGCAAAATAACAATGTAGTCATTGTTAAAATTAATCCATAATTCATTTAATAAAATATTTTATAAAAAATTACTATAGATGAAAATTTTCAAGTCGAATTATAGTAAAAGATAGATTGTCGATTTATTGAGTGACAGTTTAAAATAATTACATTCACATCAAATAAGCTTTTAAAATACATGAATTTAATTCAACAACTAATATCATTTTAGCTCGGTTAAAAATAAAATAAATATTTAATTAATTTTAAATTTATTTGTGTTAAGTAATATTTAATTACTTATTAAAATATATAATATTATAATTTTAATTAACCCTTAAAATCAAAATGGATTGTTAATTATTAGTTTTACTTTATTCAGAGGCAGACTGGCCATAAGACCAGGAAATTTGTCCATGAGGCTGCAAGAAAATGTCGATTTTTGAGGCCGGTCAAAGGAAAATATCAAAATAGACACCGATTAGAAAAAATAAAATATTATTATATTCACATAATTTTCTCTTATCATTTATTTTTAATGTCTCTATTTGAATATCACATTCCTTGAGAATTATCATATCGTTTACTATATTTTAATGGATAAAATATAAATAACGTCGCTTGACCCTATACATCATTACCAAGTTCTTTTCTTTGTTTTTTTTAAAATGAAGTGAAAACGCTTCCGTTTGAGTTTGAGTAGAGTGAAAGTTAGGTTTTTATTAATTTATTATATTATATTTTTATATAGAAATATAATAGCTGTATTATATTTTTATATAGAAATATAATAGCTGCATTTCTTTTTCTTAATTCAGTGAAATTAAATTAAATAAAACTCAGGTATAATAATTTTAATAAAATAAATTTTTGATCAATTTATTTTCTAATGTTTTTTTTAATATTAATTAATTGATTGTTAATTTATGTTATTTTATTCCTAACTAAGCTCAGCGAACACGATTGTTAAAATCTTACCTAATATTTGGATTACTACAATTTGAATTTACTTATCATTTGCAAAAATTTTTACAAAAATTTATTGTATAAACCATTTTATAATCAACTTTATATTGCTATTTTTACACTTATTTATAGGATCATTCAATTAAGATGTATGTAATAGGTCAAAAGTAAACAACTTATTTATATTTCACATAGGCGTACAGCGTTTACATGGCAGAAAATTTGATGCAGAATAACCCCCTCCAAAATCTACCCATACCCACCTAAAAAAAATCCCGCGGCTTTCGGCCGCGAAATTTTTAGACCTACGATGTTATAGTGATTTTATTTAAAAAATCTTATAATAAGCCACCATTTATAACCTTACAACAGAATTCTATTTATAATCTTTCAAGCCTATTTAGGGAAAAAAAATTTAAAAAATTTGTAGATGATAATCAACTTATATTTAAATAATGCAATCTTTTCATAATTTGGTTGATATTCACTTTATTTTCATAAAATATATATAAGTGAATTAAATGAGATAACATATTAATATTTCTATAAAAAAGTTCTAAAATATTGTAAAAAATATAAGATGAGTAATTTTAAAGAGGTATATTTAGCTTGATTCCACATACCTATATTACCTTTTAATTAATTAAAAACATGTATTGTAAATAGAGTTATTATATAAAATATTAGAATAAAATGAAATATACTATATTTTGCATTGAAATTATAAAATGTAAATTAAATTTACATTTTTTTAAAAGCGTATATATTTTCTGTGAAATAGATACACTGCTAATTTTATTAATTAATTGGATAACCTTATAAATGTTAATGCAAATTGTGTTATAATATCATCAATTGTAAATTTTTCAAAAACATCAATTTTGCTGGATATTAACAGTAAATTTTCTAAAAATGGGTCCAAAATTTTATTCCGCATGCGAGTTTTGTTTATTTTTACTTTACTCATGGCTCTTTCGGTTGAACAGGGAGTTGTAGGAAGGGTTAATAAATATTTATTTAATAAATTTAAATTAGAATAAGAATTTAATTGATTTAAAAGTCGGCATGGTAATATGAAGAATATTTTATCCATTTTTTTATTTTGGTCATGATTTCGCTATTGATATTTTCTATAGTAGTTTTTACGTTTGCAATACCTTTAATTTATTGATATTACAAATAAAATATCAATAAATTACTTTCATCAATATATAACGCGTCATTCTTTTTAACTTTCAAAAGATCTTCGCAAAAAATGATTGATTGAGACTCCAAATATAAAGAGCGAAAATCATTATATTCATCAACAATGTTTGGACATCCAATATGACAAATTTCGGATATTTGCCATCCTTTTATTTTTTCATTATCCATAATTCCAGCGGGAGTAAAAATGGATATTTGTGATAAAAAATTTAAACAATCATAATTAAATCGTTCATTTAGGTAATTAATTATTGCATTTAGCACAGCGAAAAATGTTTCCATTATATATCTATAAAAAAAAAAATAATTTAAAATTTTTAATATATTCAACTTGTTTTTTTTGTTCAACATAATTTTTTTTGTTCAACATAATTATTGAATTCTGTTTGATCTAATTTGAATATTGATTTCATATTATATAAATCAGTTATTACATTATTCTTCTTCAAAAAACTAGTAGATAAGGAATGTAATTATAAAAAAATATTGTCTCCATTAGCTATATTTTAAAATTATTTATAGAAATAGTAACTAATATTAACCTTTTTGTCTTTGTAATTTATTTTTTGTATGTTGTATTAATTTGGTTACCATAGCAAATCATTACCAACTGCCTGCATTTCAATACAAGCAGTGGCGTAGCTACGGGAGTGGTTTTCGGATTTGGACCCCTCCCAGAGCAAATTTTTTTTGAGATTATACGTTCAAAAGACATAAAAGTGATTTTATATGAATTATATTTTTCTGGTTTTGATGTTTGTGGAAGGATATTATATTACTATTGAAATTATTCTGGATAGTATTATTATAAAGTCATTGAGAATAATCTATTAAATTATAATAACATATTATTGATGCATTTAAAAAATATATTTATTATATATTATCGAAGATATGGTTATGATTTGTAAGATAAACCCGGCCGAAGGCCGGGCAAAAGAGCCGAAGGCCCGTTAAAGGGGGTCTGGGGGGTGAAGCCCCCATCTTTTATATGTATGGACCCACTCTAAGGAAAATTCCTAGCTACGCCACTGAATACAAGCCTCATGTTTACATTTCAATATTTCTTTCAAAATAAATTGACTTAATATAAAATTTTCATCCTTAATTCTGGATAGCAATGGAAGAGGTGCTTGGGTCATTAGATTCTTTTAATTCAACTAATGATGCTAAAATATGTTCATAAACATCTAAAATGATTTCTACAGATTTGTTGGATGATGACCAATTTCTGAAAATATATAAGTTTCATTAAAAATAATTTATTTACCTTGTTGTGTTTTTAATTCTTTTAAGAGATTTCTTGGACTTTCTCATTTGATATTTAACAAACACACCTTGACGTCTAACTCCATTCATAAAATTATATAACTCATTTAATATTCTCATTGCCTTTTTCATTTCAATTTTGCAGCCACAAACATGAGCAACTACTAAATTTAGCATAGATGGCTTTTGGAGCCTCTTTCAATATTAAAGCCTGCATTCCTTTGTATACTCCTCTCATATTCCCTGCACCATCCATACTTTGTCCAACCAAATAATCAAGAGGAAGACCAAGATCATTAAACTAAGAAAAAACATGTTTCTTTATATTTTCCCTACTGGTTTCTGATGTTGTAAAAACATGTATGATCCTTTCTACAGGATGTAGATGCAGATCATCTTCTATTACAAGCAAAGCTATGCATTCTTTTTTAGACACATCATATGTTCTATCTAATATGATGCTATAGGCACGATTCTCTTTAATTTTTTGAATAATGCTTTTTGTTATTTTTATCTTAATAATTTCAGTTATTTTTTTCACGTGGCCATATGACAGCAAATTTATATAAGGTCTCGAAATTATATCTGATTTTTTTCTCCACAATTTTTCGTTGTTATCCATATATGCACGTAAAGTTGGAACCGTTTTTGCCATTAATTTTATGAGGCACATAAAATTACCTTCATTCGATTTAGAACCACAAAAGGCTATATTACATTTTATAAGGTACATAATGGCATCGATAATATTATGAACTATATTACGATTTTCCATGATTATATCAAGCTTATTTTATAGCAAATGATCTTGAATGCGCTTATTTGCAAGCCAAGTCATGTTTGCATATTCACAATCTTTATGAAGAGAAGATGATTCGTGTCTCTCTAAGTCACGCTATGTTTTTCCAATTATTTACTCAAAGTTGAATCCAAAAAGTATTGGAATTAGGGCCACCAAACATAATACAATATAGACAAAAGACTTTGTCTAAAGTAGTGATATAAGATAGCCAATTTATGGGGTTGAGGGAACCATCTATATTAACCTTTCTATAATAGGTTATATGTTTAAAAAATATAAAAAATAAATACTGGTATAGAAATAATGGATGGGTAAAAATTAATGAAAATTATATATTATTTAAAACCTCTTGTGAGTAACAGGATATTGAAATTTATTTGTACATGGCTGACATGGGCCTACAGCAATTATGAAATTAATCAAAATATTTGTCATCCTAAATAATATGAAGTAATGGGTCATTTGATTCCTTCTTTTTGTATAGCTGAATAAGACTTGGACTTTGAATATCCTCATAATTTATTCCCTTCAAAAGTTATTAAATAAATTTTATTTAAATTTAATACCTCATGCAAAGTAAGCGCCTCACTGGAACTGGGGATTGGATGAGGAGATAATACAATTTATGAATCTTCAATAATGGAGATTTGCTATAAATAAAGAGTATAATTTGTTTACTTATAAAAAACTATATTTTAATAAAATTTTAGCCAAATGGTCATTTTATTCTTAGCTACATTATAATTAAGTTTTTAATAAATGTTGGAAATATTTAAATATCCTAATAATCATAATTTATTTTCTTCAAAAGTTATCATATAATTCGTATTTAAATTAAATACCTCATCATGCAAAGTAAGCACCTCACTGGAACTGGGGATTAGATGAGAAGATAATACAATTTGTGAATCTTCAATAATGGAGATTTGCTATAAATAAAGAGTATGATTTGTTTACTTATATTTTTAATAAAATTTTAGTCAAATGGTCATTTTATTCTTAACTACATTATAATTAAGTTTTTAATAAATGTTGGAAATATTTGAATAACCTCATAATCATAATTTATTTCCTTCAAAAGTTATTATATAATTCTTATTTAAATTAAATACCTCATCATGCAAAGTAAGCGCCTCACTGGAACTGGGGATTGGATGAAGAGATAATACAATTTGTGAATCTTCAATAACTGAGATTTTCTATTAATAAAACTATATTTTTATTAAAATTTTAGCCAAATGGTAATTTTTTTCTTAACTACATTATAAATAAGTTTTTAATAAACGTTTTAATTCTACACAAATACATGATTGAGAAAACAGGCATTAAAAATATTATGAAGTCCAAGATAAAGTTATCAGGTTACAATGGCAAGACGATACAAGTGATAGGTAGGGCACAAGTGAATGTAGAATACAAAGGGAATTCACAAATTTTGAACGCGTTAATCATAAACATTAATAAAATGTATTTATTAGGAAGATCATGTTAAAACATTTTGAAAATATTGAAAGATTCATAGGCATAATAGATGCAGATTAATATAAAACTATAATCACATGAAGAAATCATAAAAGATATTATAATGACTGTATAAACAATAGTAATCTTATAAATAAAAATTAGTATGTATAAAATTGTGAAATTCATGATGAAAGTATATTGTCTAAAGAAATTCTAATAGCTAAATAAACAATGATAATAATATAAACATACCTAATATAACAGATAATGTAAATAAAGGGAATGATATTCACACAGATAACATTTGAAAATAGTTAAATCCAATTCATATTTAAGGATAAAATTTATATAAAAAAAAAGTAAAAGAACTTTGAAATCTTAATTCAATTAAAGATGAAAAGATTTAAATTTAAAAATTCCTAGAAATTAACATTACCTTACTTTTATTATTTTACTACATTATATTAACTTAATAAGTTTTTTTAATACTTTGGTTTTAAATTATTATTATTAATTAACCTATTAAACATATTGTTAAATTGAACTTTATAAAGTATATATAGATATAAAAATAGTGTGATAAACAGTTAAAAAAAATATTTAATAATAAAATATAAAATTTATTTTCTCTATACCCTGCCTACTTTAATTTTATTTTAATATATTGGTAAAATTTTAAATAAAAAATAAGTTTCTATTAATTCACAAATTTAAGGTATATTTTCAATGATGTTTATTGTCTTTAGTTACAATAATAAATTAAAAATATTACTTTTATGTCAGTGACTTTTTTCGTCTTTTTTTGTAACTGGGCTTCAACTCCATTTGTTATATTATATGTAATATCACATTAAGGATGCCCAATTAATATTATCTATTGATGGCTACCTTTGTAATCATATCAGCTGGCTTTACATGAGGATGTTTATGTTTATAATGTTCATGTATCTTGTCACTTCTTTATTTAGAAGTTTTCAATTAATATAATCACATTTCACTTTAAATAAGTTCTGTTACTTGGCATCTAGAATGAAATAATTAATTATTTTTTACATATTATGTTTTTGATTATTCTTTGCTTGTTGGTATATGTTTCTAAGCATGACTAAAAAAATTACCTCCAAAATTTATCCTGCTAAAAAAATCTATAAATTTATTAAAAAACATAATACAAATATATTAATCTGTAAGAAAAGTACCAAATAGGAAATGTGTAAATATTAATTTGATAAAATGGTAAATGAAAATCGTTCACAAAGAAAGTTTATATTATTTATTAATTGAAAAATATCTTTACTTTAATTGACATTTGTCAGAAAATCAACGATAACCAACAATTAATGGATTAAAAGATTATAATTCAAATAAAAAATTACCCCCAAACATACCAATATTTGGAGACATTTGTCTCCTCCCCCCCCCGGCCATGTAGACGCTGGCCGCAGCGTAGTCAGTCCACCCCTGATTTCATTTAAACATTTATTTTCTATTATTTTGTACTCAAATATAATTCTTAAATTTTTTATTAATATAAATTAGTATAAATTAATTTCCATTAAATGCCTTGCCTCATCTCAAAAATTTGAAATTTGATACTTGAGGCCAATTAATTGTGACTGATCGTTAATCGTCGCCCTATGGTTAGGTTTAACATTAACCAATCGAAATGTCAAACAAGTAAAGAAAAATCTTCAGCTAATATTTGTAAATTTTAAATATTTACCTGTGAAAGTTGAAAATAATAATTTGTGCAAACTAGCTGGATAAAATTTTGTAGGTATTTACATTTGTAGAAATTAGACAAATAACCTAGTTAACATTGTTTATTAAAAAATGGGTTATTAAAATTAATATATATCTGGATAATTCACATTTTTAATTATAATTATTAACCAAACTATCTTAAACAGTCCAAGTCCAACTTTTTATAAGAACTACTTTTATTTTGTTACATTCTAAACATGTTCAAACTATTACAGAATAATATAATTTTTAAAGTACATGATTTTTCCATAATTTTATAGGTCAATGTATTTAGAGAAATAATATGTTTTTTGATTTTATTTTTGAATAAGTAATATAGGCATTATCAGGGTTATGGTAATTCCCTCCTTTTTACACTATATTGATCTATAAAAAATTAAAATTGGATAGTTTTTTTAGTGATTGTCAAAGTTAAAAAGGAATAATTTTTTAAAAATAAAAGGCATATTAAAATAGAAAGATTTTATTTTTAATTTTTTATTGAAACATAAAACAAGATTAATTTTAGTCATAGTCTGGATTTTCAAAATATAATAGACTAATTTTTTAGCCTCATGTGCATTTTTATTTTTGATCATTTTTTGACTTAGCCCAGAATTTAAAAAAATTTTTTTTAACCTAAAGCATTGGGCCCATAAAATAAAAAATTAGGAAAATTATCTTTTACAAATCATGATAGTAAACTGTGCCAAAAAATGAAGCTTTATTATTTAATTCCATATGTTTACATAAGATAAAATATTTTTATCAAGCAGGTTCAAATAGCATAAAATGACAGTTTGCTCAATTTATAATATGGGTTTGTATTTTTATTTTTTCTGGGTCCTTGTATTATAAATACCATTTTCCATTGTAGTTGACATGATTTTCCTGAAGAAGACTTTTGGAGATATTTTCTCTATAGGGCTTTAGGCCCACTTTTATAGGTGTTTGGGTTAATATTTAAAAAGATTGGATTTGCACTTGTTTTAAAAAAATATTCTTAACCATTTAAATTATAGTCATCTTTATTCATTAAAAAATTATAAATTTATGGGTACTCTAAAATTATTGTCATTTTTGTGCAGAGGGAGAGGGGTCGCTGGAAGAGAATTTTTATTAGCTTGAAATTATATTTACAAAATTGCTATATAGGTAATTCCCCTTTGCCATTATTTCTGTTTTTTAAATTTAAAAAAAATTTATTTTAATAAACTATACATAGGCCTATAGCTTATGGGAAAGGGGGATTCTTTCTTGAAAATTTTCAATAATTCATTAATATCATTTTAAGCATATAAAAATATTTTTTAACACTCCCTCTCTTTAAAGAATACATACAATATGTCAAACAGTAATTTTAAAAAAGATAACAATAAATAAAAGTTATATTTTATGATTCAAGGGAAAGACTTGTAACATCTCAGTTTTGCTAATATGGTTAAGGATATATGAAGAGACCTGACTTATGATTTGAGAATGTTTTATTATTTTAAAGCTAATGATATTTTATAATCATGTAATTATATATTTTACAGATAAATATCATGATTAAAAAATATTTGTTTCACTTCAAAATTGTAAACAATCGATTCCTAATGTATATATATCTCGATTAGAGATCTTTGCATGGCTGGTCTGTTAAAAAATTTTCTTGCCCAACCCATTATAATTGTTTTTTTTAAATGCTTGGTTGCCTATTAAAATTTTACGAAAAGTCCTTGGTTGTTAAATTTATTGATTTTTTCCTGACTAAAAGGCTTTTATATCACTTTCTTTGGCTCTCTATTTCTACAGCAACATTTTTATAAATCAATTGTGTTTGTGTTTGATATCTCTAATTTTGTATTGTAATTGGATTATATAAATAAATTGTTCAATTTGTTTGAAACTGCCATATTTTTTATAGATTTAGTATTTTAGTATGACCACACTTAAAATACAAAGAAATAAGCATATTATAATTTTTCATATAGTATTAATCAAAATATTAGCTTCAAAAATTTATATACGAATTGATCAGCCCTGCATTTATAATTTTTTAAATTTGTTCAGAACACTTATTTTTGGATGGGTCAGGCTTCACAGATTCTAATTTAGATATATTTGAGAATATCTCCAACTAGCACTGTTTAAAGCCATTTATCTATATCTATATATATAGAATATTTTTTAACCACTCGAATTTATGCATATTATTTATATTTACCATATGTTCACTTATAAAAATATATTGATCAAAACAATTTTCCCCTCACTTTCTGACCAATTTATTTTGGGTATTTTGTTCTTTATGCAAAAGGCTCTGAGGTTTTATATAATTGATAAGTTTATCTCTCAATGCTAAGCTTACCTATTAAACTTGATCCTGGGCTTCTAGAAAGATTAAGCCATATAACCTACCTCACTGCTTCTGGGGCTATACAGGATGGGGTAAAATGGTTTGTAAAGCAAAAATAATTTCTCAAAGTAATGACCTTATAAAATATTGTAAGTGGGTTTCTGTCTGTTAAATCTGAGTACTAAATCAGGATATTTTTGCATATTTCGTTATATTTAATATAATAAATCTAGTGATGAAACCATTTATATGACGTTATTCCTAGTCATAACGCATGGAAAACTTGTAACAGCTGATTAATATATAGGACTCACTACCTAATCATGTATGAAATTATATTGAAACACTATAAAACGACGAGCAGAGCTTATGTTCTTATATATTCAATATAAATGGTATTATTCTGGTGACAAAGCACTCTCTAGTTTTGTAAGAATGATCTATTTTTATTGTGCTCTTATTGTGAAGACAAATATTTTTTCAATTAGTTATAATTTGTATTAATAAAAATGGTTTCCATTTTATCCCTGGAAGGATGACTTTTAACTTGCCCAGACTATAAAAGATGGGAACTGGGAAGCCTGGATTTTTTATTTTATATTCTAGTAAGGCTATTCTATGTCAGTGGCGTATCCAGAATTTTCTTGGAATTTTGGGGGGCTTCGCCCCCAAACCTCCTTTTACATGGCCTTCGGCCAGCTTTTCCCCAGCCTTTGGCCGGGTCTTATGTTCCAGCTATTCTATTAAATTATTCATAATTTAATAATAATTATATTTCTATTTTTAACTATTATTTACTAATTCTTGCTTATGGATATTACAAGCCTATTTTTTATTATTTCAAGTTAGGTATATTATATTTAATAAAGTTTTTTTAAATGTAAAGTTGAAATAAAGTGTGATGTCATTTTTTTTATAAAATTTGCTTTAAAAACTAGCCTCAGCTTAAATTCTCATACATTATAAGTAGAATATAATTTTTTTATTGAAAATACTAATAGTAGTGTGTATAAAATATTGACTAGTAAATAATTAAATTAACAAGTTTTTTTAACTTCTTATCAAATACAATATTATACAAAATATTTTCCATAATTATAATGTGATTTTTAATTTTCGTGTGAACGTTGCCAATTCATCAAGAATTTCGTTTGCAGTTGGAACCAAATCTTTGTGGATATTTAACAGAGCTAACCCATTTAGCCGAGATTCAGTACTTCGTAAATATGTTTTCAACTTTCTCAAGTTGGAAAAAGACCTTTCATTCGTACATATTGTAATAGGCAAACATGCAAGAATATAAAACAACTTCAAAATATTAGGAAATTGAGCCAAGGTTTCTTTACACCGATTGAGCGCATCAATAGCATGCTCAGGTTAAATAGCTAAACGATTTTACCAATAGTAGCATTAGAAAACGAAGAAGGATCTTTGGGTAATAAAACTTGAAGATTGCTAAAGGCTTGTTTTTTATCTAAAATCCGAACTTTTATTTGCGATAAAAAAGTATCTAAGAATAGGATGAAAATGGATATTTTATAATATTCTTCAGTTGAGCCAATATTTATTTTACATCTCAATAATGGCCTAGGTGCTAGACGAGGTTTAATTAGTGTTATATCATAAAATTTAGCCTTCGATTCAACGTCTAGATAAATATTATGAAAATAATTATCTACATTCATTCTTATTGTATCTACCTGTTCATATATATTTTCCGCCAAATCAATAACCTGAAACAAATCTAAATTTGGTTTTTGTAAATTTCTACAAAGTAGTGAGCTAAAAATAATTTATTGATGCAATTAGCAGCAATGATAAACTCTGATTGATCAATTGAATTCAATAATGATATCGCTTCTGACGACACATTACTTTTTTTCATGCTCAGCCTTATTTAACTTTTGTATTTCTATTTCTTCTGTTCTACAAAATGGAAGTAAAAATGAAAAATATTTAAAAAATTATAGATATTTATTAATAATTAAAATATTAAAAATACTTATTAATTCTAACTCACTAATAATTTTGAATTTAATAAAATAAATATATATAATAAAATAAATTATCTTTTGATTTCAATCTTTTTGACTAAATATTTTTCCATTTTATTAATATTTTTGAATAATATGTTGGAAAATTGATATTCAAATATTTGTAAAATTTTGATTGGGAGGTGAGGGGGGGGGGGGGTAAAATTTTTATTAGTTTAAAATGATATTTATGAAAACAGTCAAATGCGATGGGGGGGGATTCCCCCCCCATTGGTTACGCGCCTGTTCTATGTTATGATTTTAACCCATAATAAAAAATTAAATTTTATCCTGCCATATAATCCTGGTATTGAAATTTTTCAGAATAAAAGCAATATCTCTAGAAATATGTAGATTTTACTGCATATCCATCCGATCCATTATTGGCTATTCTACAGCCAATGATTAATACCTATTTTTTTTCTCCCTATTTTTCACTGGTCATACATTAAAATTTTAAAACTAACCTCCAATAGAAAGAGAGATTTGTTTTTCAATATACCTATTAGTAATATATTTCCCAAAATTATATATAATAATTTGAATTAATTGTATGAAATGAATGGATAAAATACATTGTAAAAAGAAATGAAATAGTTATCCTTCCCTCGGAAAATTCTGGCTATCTATGTGTGTTTTACTTTAGTATTTATTACTATTTTAAAAAATAATGTTCACCAATATAGATTAAAAAACTTTAATTTTTTGTAAATATTGAAAGTGACTTTTGGAGTCAGTTTAGACTTAATTCTCTTAATGGTTTTTTAAATACTATCCTTTTTCAAATTAAATTTTTTTTTGGCTCAACTTATTTGAATAAAAATATAAAGATTTTGTTTAAAATATATTAACAATGAATATTTTAGTTTCTTTAAGCATCCCCCCTCCCCTTCTCACCTAAATAGAAAGAAACCAGTGATATCTCTGGGAATAAAATGATAAGATCAGCTTTATTAAGATTAAGTTAAAAAATTTCTTTATTAGATATTATATTTTTCCATGACTCAATACACATGATAGATAATCATATCATCATAATTTCTCTTTGTTATTAAGTCAAACTACCTTGAAAAATGATTGATCACAATGAGTTGAAGTTGATTGAATTGATCATATGTAATTATTGAACTGAGGCATATACCAATTGCAAAGACTAAATTGAACCATGAAACCGACTCTAAAGACCAACCCGCCATAAATCGGGACATTAATATAGACGAATATTATTATTAGTTAATAATTTATTTATTTTTCAGTTTAAGGGCCGGGTGTGTGCGCCTTGTTCAAACCTTCAATAAACAATTAAGTTGTCACCACACTAGATCAATTCGACATTACATTTGTTTTTCCACGATATTGCGCAATGAAAAATCTCAATTCTCACTTGAAAAAATACTTAAATGTCTGAACATTGGGATATTATCCCGAAAATATTCGACAACGACAAATTCCAACAACAGATATGATCTAGCCATAGTAGGTGGGGGCATAATAGGTTTGGCTACTGCTCAGGAGATGATATCCCGTTATCCGACTATGAAAATTGTCGTGGTTGAAAAGGAAGGCGAGCTGGCAAGTCATCAAAGCGGTCATAATAGTGGGGTAATACACGCCGGTGTTTACTACACGCCCGGTACACTTAAGGCTAAACTCTGCGTGCAGGGCGCTAAAATGGCTTATGAATTTTGTGATGCCAACGGGATTCCTTACAAAAAATGTGGTAAGCTCATAGTCGCCGTTGAGATTAAAGAATTATCCTTACTCGACAACCTCATGGAACGAGGAATCAAGAACGGTGTGCCTGGGATCAAAATGATCGAGGGAAAAGATATCTCTTCCATCGAGCCTCACTGTAAAGGATTAAGAGCCATTCATTCACCTAACACGGGAATCGTAGATTGGAAACGCGTGTCCCAAAAATATGGCTCTAATTTTAAACGAGCCGGTGGAAAAATTATTCTCAACTACCAAGTCATCAATTTTAAAATGAATCCTGTCAACTCTGATTACCCCATTTTAGTGAGAGGTGAAATGGGTCAAAATAAAGGAATAAAGGATATTCAAAGCAAATACGTGATAACTTGTGCTGGTTTGTATTCAGATAAAGTTGCCGAGATGTCGGGTTGCTCTTCAGACCCTAAGATTGTTCCATTCAGGGGGGAGTATTTAATGTTAAAGCCTGATAAGCGCCATTTAATCCGTGGAAATATATATCCAGTTCCGGATCCTCGATTTCCTTTCTTAGGGGTTCATTTTACCCCACGAATGGACGGTAACATATGGTTAGGTCCTAATGCGGTTCTCGCGTTTAGCCGTGAAGGTTACTCTTTTCGCGATATAAATTTTGGAGATATGTTAGATTATCTCAAATTCTCTGGTTTTCGTAGCATGTCCTATAAATACCTTGGGCCGGGAATAAAAGAGATGTATGGATCCATATTCCTTAGCGCCAAAATTGCGGCTCTAAAGCGATACGTACCTGAGTTGAAAGCGAGCGATGTAATGCCTGGACCGGCCGGCGTCCGAGCTCAGGCTTTGGACACTAGCGGTCAGCTCGTAGACGATTTTGTGTTCGACAGTGGAAAAGGTGTCCTTGGAGAACGCACTCTACATGTGAGAAATGCTCCCTCTCCTGCCGCTACTTCTTCCTTAGCCATATCTAAGATGGTTGCTGACAAAGCCCGTGAAAAGTTTAAACTCGTCGAACCCTTAAAAAATAGTCATTAACTAACGAATTAAATTAAGATATTTTACTGTATAAATGTTATTTATACTTAAAATTTTATTATGCGGGTGAATATTTTAGCTATGTTTATTAAAAAAATGCCATTTTTCAGGAAATTTACAAAAAAAAATTAATTATATATTTTAAATTTATTTAATGATATTTATTTTATATTCAAAAATGATTTTTAATGGTATTATTTACTACATTTTGTGTTAAACATTTTATAAATTATTGAGCTTATATTTTCGATAATTATTAATAAAAAAACTATTATTTTTTGTAATAACTGCTTCCGATGATCAATTTTTTTATATAATAGAAAACTAGCATTCACAAATAGTAATAAATCGAAGATTACAATATATCCAGGCTTGTTAATCGATCCTTTTCTTATTTAAATTTCTGAAGGAAATTTTTTCAAAATTAACTTATATAAAAATAAATTAAAAATGGTGTAAATTTGTAATTGAATGATATAATATAACATTTAGAATATATCTATTTATAAAAATTAGCCTTTAACAATAAATTTTTCCCAAATTATTATCCCTCATCTTTCATTAAGTACATGTTCAGTTTTACTATACAAGGCTCCACAGGAGCACTTGATAGCAAATGTGTGTTATATACACTAAATATTTTTTTAAAATTTACATAAGTATTAAAAATATTAAATTGGATCATCATAAATAAAAAAAATTATTAATGGAAAGATCATTTTGTGAAGAATTTTTCCCCAAAAGGGTATCTATTTCATCCATATGAAGTACCTAAATGTGGTTGATCCTGGAGATTTTCCAAATGTGCAATTAACATTTCTTTTACTAACAGATTTTGTGGCAGATTAATATAAAGCCAATTTGGCTTAAATTTTGAGTGAATTGCTGCTAATATGTTACTTTCATCATGTGAATGAGATTTATATTAAGTAATGATAACTAATTTATTATTTAATAAGTGTTGATTCATATAAATCAGATATCTGCAAAACTTAGCCCTTTCAAATTTTACAGTCAGACCTGGTCCATTATCTGTATGGTATTTATATTTGAGCCATATCATAAATATTGATTAAAGTTAATATTATATTTAGACTTAATATACAAAGAAATAAGCATATAATTTATTTTCAAAGAATATTAACTTAAAATTCTAAACTATGACGGTGCTGGCCCATTAAAATTTTACCAGATATCAATGGTTTATTAGGTCTGGACTGTTAAAAATATTTTACTAAATTTGTCAAGATCATTGCAATTTTTTAATAAATTTTGCAGATGATATCTATCAATATAAAATAATTGCATAAAAATTTAAGTTATCTATTAGAATGGTTACATTTAGCACTTTATATTTGCTTAATTGATATCATTTTCTTCTCTCCGCATTTGTGGTTGCAACAAGGTTCAGATTATGACAACAACGTTGAATAATTGGAAGGCTAATAGTTGAATTACTATCTTCATTTTCTCCAAAAATATAAAAAAAATATAAAATTTATTTTAAATAATTTTTTTGTTAAATATAAATATTACTTAAAGGCCTTGACAAAGTTGGTGCCATTTACGGTCACCATCTCCACCACCTTATTATTAATTTTATAAGCCTTATAATACCCATAATTTTCTTAGTCAAAACATACGTTTGCCTTCAAATTATGCGCCTCAGTGCAAAAGCTACTGATCTTATCTTAAAGATTGGGTCCAGCCAATATGCAGTAACTCCGATAAAAGCCTTAAAACAAAACTTTATAAAATTAATAAATATAATATAACTTCAATCACCACTCCAGCAATCAGTAGTAGTGCATTATATAAGACTTCAGACAAATCTCTTATAAGATTTATGGTCATATCTGTAAAGGTAATAGATATTTTGTTTTCGAGGACACATAATTTCTATAGTTGGAGAAAATGTTGTAATCATTTTCTCAAATGAAGGATCATCAACCAGTGTAATAAATTTCATCATAACTTTGGCTGCTGTTATTGTGATATTGCAGGTTTAGATTATAAAAATTTAATTTTTTTATTTGGATTTGCAATCACTTTGGTTTGCAGAGATTTAATTGTTTATGCAGATAATTCATTTAGGTGTTTGGCTATACCTACAAAAATGCCAATCGAATAATTTATTATTCGTATGAATAATAAAATGATTATTCGATTCGTCGAATATTCGATTCGAAAATTTTATTTACCATGAATTAAAAAAGATCTATTATAAAATTTATTTTGTAAAATTTAACTAAGGATAAAGACAAACAAATTTTATTAGTGAGACAAAATAGAAGCATACATATATAATATATTTATATACAATGTGGAAAAATCAATATAATATTTATATCTATAATAAAATATATTTTTTATTTAATAAAACTTATTTATTATTTACCGGCACATATTCATGTTACTCTACAATTTAATATAATCTGTTGAAAAATTGCAGATGAGGTCTTAAGCCCAAAAGAAGTTAGTAAATTGGTAATATCCCTTATGCGTAGATATGGTTAAAATAGTGTTCTAGGTTCCAAGCCCATTTTTCTTTGTTGACAATCTTATAAAGAGGATCGGCAATTTCCGCAAAATTGTTCAAAAATTTTCTATAGTAGCCAGCCATTCCCAGAAATGTTGATAATTCAGCAGCTGATTTTGGTTCTGGCATATTAATTATTGCTTCAATTTTGTCGTGATTAGCATGAATCCCCTTAGCGTCAATATCATGACCCAGGAACCTCACTTTGTTTTTAAAGAACACACTTTTATTAAAGTTAGGTATTAGCCCTTTTTAAATATCAGCGTGTTGAGTGACCTAGTATGATAGAGATGACGCAAATAATCGAAATATTTTTATCCCAAGCTTAATATTAAAAAAGTAAGGTTACGCCGTTTATAAAATAAAATTAGATTATAACAAAAAATAAAATTTATATTGTAATTAGAATAATGCAACATTCTCCCTCTTCTGTTAATTTCATCGGAGAAGTCATAGAGAGTTTGTTGTCCAAGTGGTTTATCGTTTTGGAAGATTATAACTCACTTTTTACCAATGGACCAAAAGATCTATGCTTTATCTTTTTTTACTTTTTGACTCTTATTATTCACCATATATTTTAGAAAATGTATATATACCTTTAGAAAAGAAAAAGAAAGGAGTTAATAAAATATATTTTTTTGATTAGTGATATTCTTTAGTTTTTATAACTTTTTTTTGGAGTTATGATTCTGATGATTATTTTCATTGTCATGATTGCTAATGGGTGAAACTGGATTTTTGGATCGGTTAGAATCTCGCTTCTTCTTTTTCGTCTCTTCGGTATTTTTGTTCTTTGTGGATGAAGATTTGAACGAAAAAAAGTTCAACATTTTTTTATCGCCACCAATTTTTTCCCTCCTTTTTCTCATATGAAAATTGACGAAGTTCCACATTAGCCAAGCTTGGAGCAAACCAAAAGCGACCATGCAATTGTATCTGATAATAGGTGTATTAAAATTTTGTTGAACCAGGTTAATTTGAGGTATGCTGGTTTTAGAGAGGCCAAAATAAAATGTTAATTAGAATAATGCAACATTCTCCCTCTTCTGATAAATCGTAAATGTAGAGTAACATGATTTTTGAAAGCATTGATCCACGTACGTCCCAACAAGGCATTTTTACTTGATTCAACCACTACCGCTTGTAAATATTTCGAAATACCATCATAAGTCACTTTAACTTGAGTAGTTCCTATAATTTTGATTAAATTCCCGTCATAAGCAGTGAGTTGTAGCTCAGATTTCTTAAGATCTCTAATACCAAATTTTTTAGCCAGACCATGAGGTATAATAGTGTATTTGGATCCAGTGTCCACTTGCATACAAGTAACAACATCGTTCACTTTTACAGTAGTCATAAATGCGTTATCTTTGTCATTAATCACGTCACCAGATAAATTGTTGACATTAAAATCATTATCATCTTTGATCATTACCTCTATAATTATTTGAATTGTTGTAATAAGATTGGTAATTGTTACGATTTCCGTCACCGTATTGGATTTGTTTTCTTTGATTAATTTTTTTATTTCATCTTCGTAATTAGTGTCAATATTTGCTATAAATTTATTTAAGATATTTTTGAAAGCATTTCTATATCTATTATCATAATTATTTCTAAAATTAATTCTTGTGGTAATCTCGAAAGGCAATCAGGAACAACATTATATTTACCGGCTTTATACTTTATATTAAAATCATAAATTTATTTAAAATCATCCCAACAAGGCATTTATAATTGGAAATTTGCTGTAGGCATCGACTATTATCAACCAATTTTTTGTGAAAAACGGACCCGCATAATCTATATGTATCCTTTCAAACGGTTTGGTTGCCGAAACCCATGGTTTTTGTATCTTTATAGGATTATCGTGATATATATTACAATCGTCACAACTCTTCACTTCCATAACGATATCATTATTTATGCCAGGCCACCACATGTAATCTTTGGCTAAGGATTTGATTTTTCCTGCTCCCAAGTGACCTTCATGTAATGACTGTAGTATAGTTTTTCTCATAGAAGACGGAATTATGATTTTGTTACTTTTGTAAAGACAATCCTTAATTATACTTAATTCCAATTCAATGTTTTTATAAATATTATTCAAAAATTGGTATTAGAGATCTTAAGAAATTAGAATATAAAACGAAATACAAAAAAGTAAAATAATATTAAAAAAGTATAAAAAAGTAAGGTTACGCTGTTTATAAAATAAAATTAGATTATAACAAAAAATAAAATTTATATTGTAATTAGAATAATGCAACAATCTATAATGTAGAAGATAAATCTGACAACAGCCAATTTTTCAAACATAGAGTTTTTCGGATTGTTTCCTCCTTTAACGACATTCTGTATTTTGTAACCATATGAGCTCCAACAGAAAAGAGACGCTCACATGGGGTTGAAGATCGCTGTATCGACAATATGTCCCTCTCCATTTTAGATAACACGGCATTAGCAATATTTTACAAATAAAGTGGTAAAAACTTTAGGCAAAAAGTCAAATTTATGATTTCTCCATCATCAAATGAAAGAGAAATATCAGGTTTGCCCGTCATTCTTGATGTGATGGGATTAACAGTTTATTATAATTGTATATGTTATGTGTTATATAAATTACCTTCTTCGTCCATCTCTATCATAAAAGAAATTTCTAAAGTAATGGT